ATATTATCAGCCAAAAATAAAAAATACATTCTATAAATGATAAACTCATGTTTCATGATAGATTAATTACTCAGTATTCAATCGAAAGTATTTTTGATATTAACATCATTATTTATCAAAATTAATCTAAATGTAGATCCAGATGTTGGTTGAATTTTCTTCATTTTTTCCACTTATTTATCATATACATTCCAATCATTGATTTAAAAAAATATCTTTTATCACATAAAAAGAAGAAAAGGAAATTATTTTTGGCAAATATTATTGGTAATCGGTCAAGATTATATTTTCTCTAATATGATATTTTTTCTCCTTTTTTGATGATCTTTCTTTAAATTAAAGTTTGATCAATGTGTTTCCCCTTCCCCACCAAAAAAATATGCGTTAATGAGATAATCATCATCATCTGGATAACATTTGACTTTTCAATGGATGGCGAACAAAAAAAAACTTGAACACTGAAACGTATATTCTAATTGAATAATGATTGATCAGATAATGATATTGATGAACCATGAATTATAAATGGCATTGATAGATTTTTTTTAGTATAAATATCAATACTGACAATCGACATTGATCAATCATTGATAATCATGAATCAAAAATCAATTTATATTCTTATCATTTCATTTATTCTAATATTTGATGGTTAGAAATGAAGAACATTTTTTTCTGAAAAAAATATATGTTTAATATAATATTTTATTTGTTATAGGATGTACATCTTTGAAAGATTATGTAAAAAAAACAACGACAATAAGTAAATTATCATTTTGACTATTTTCCAAACAAAAACAAAAATAAAATTAATCAATTTTTTATATTCTTAATCTAACCCAGAGCCAAAAAGCTGTATTCAAAGGGATTGTAATAATAATTGTGTTCGAGAAGGTTTTCGATTTGGTAAATGTCAACATTTATATCCACCACAAGTAGTTTGTATTTGTTATTATTAAACACAAGTCAAACATTTTTATGTTGTTGTTGTTGTTAAATCGGGCAATATTTCGTTGTAAGTATACAGTAGACAAAAATTTTTCTTTTTTCTTATTTCATGACTTATGCAACCATATTATAATATTATTGATCGGAATTTTGTTTTTGTTTTTGTTTTTCATTGAAAATAGGATAATCTTTTTGAATATTCGGCGTTTTGTTTCACCTTGTTAATGTTCCAACACGACAACCTCACGAATTCAATATGAAAGAACAAAAAAAAATAATGCTTTGACAAACTTTTACAATTATGATATTTATTTATCAATAAAATAAAAAATTATTGAACAAAAATCTATTAATGAGAAATTGTGATTTGCACACCCACACACTCATAAAAATATTCATAAATCTTTGGTTCAATTCATTTGAACATTGTTTTTTTTTGAACAATTTTTTCTGTCATCGTTTTTGTTTTGTTTTGTTACATGAAATGGACTATGGCTATTAAGTAAATAAAAATTAGGCTAATGAAAATTGTGCAAATTAATGAAAAATGCATACAAAAAAAAAACAACGGAAATTTCATTTTCCTCAATCAACGGACAATGAAATTGACAAAATCGACAGATTCGATCAACGCATCATGAACGTAGTTCATTAGCAAGCTCGTAATTTTTTTCTTTTTAGTCATTCAGCTACATTAATGGCCATCATCACAATCAACAACAATATCATCCAACGAAAAAAAAGTCTAGACAATCAAGATATTCAAATGAAATTGTGATGTTTCATATTGATGAAAACGAGATGAAAAGAAATGTCAAATACACCACGGATGTTTGTAAACTTCCCTGATGATGTCAATCACTATTTCATAATCATGATATTTTTTTGATTTAATTAACTAAATAATTCATCAGAGTTTTATTTATTAATTCTCATTTCTTTTAGCACAAGTAAAAGTTTTGTGTATTTATCATTTATTTGTGCCAGATATCACAAAGACAACCCCATATGACGCTACAGCCACCTCCTTTATAACCAAAACTTTGGCAATCCTGTATACACTTGGCTAGGTCGCAAGAAATGACTTGACCAACTGATTTTGAAATAATTTGGTTTAACACAGGATTAGATCCATTTAATATAAAAAAAGGAAATTGAAAAAAAAACATAAATTAATTTTCATTATTTTGTTCGAATATTTTACTTTTTATATTACGAAATAACACATTTTCGGAAATTACTTACCATTAAATATAAGGACGAATGAAATTAAAATAATAAAAATTGGCTTTTGATTCATGTTTTGAATCATTAATGCCAACTGAATGTCAGTATTGATAAATCACTCCTGCCTGTCGCGCCAAATATAAAAATAATAATTTTTAATAATAATAAAAACTTTTTTAATATGGTTAAATCTAAAGCTTTGCTTTATACAATTGGTTCATAATTGTTGTAATTCTAATTGAATTAAAATTCTGATGATGTAGATGGAAATTCTACAGTAGAGCTTTATTGCTGGGAAATTTTGCATATGATACAAAAATACAAAATTCATCAGAGTTTTATTTGTTTATTATTATTTCTTCAAACAAAAGTAAAAGTTCTTATGTATAATATGGATAACAAATACAAGCCTCTTGTGGTGGTAATAAAAATTGACATAGACCATAATGAAAACCCAATTGAACACAACCACGATTACATTCGTATGGATTACAATAATTTAGACATCCTGGTTTTGGTTTTGAACTGGTTTGGTATGACACTTGGTTAGGACCTTAATATTTAAAAAAATCAGTTTAGTTTTTTAAAAAAATAGAAATTAATTTTCTTTGTTTTGTTCAAATATTTGAAATAATAATTTACTTTTTGTCGTTCTACTTCCATAATGACTTGTCGTAACATTGCATTCTGTCCATTCTAACGAACCAATAAAACGAATAAAATATTACATTATCTGATAAATATTAAACCATATATTTGTCTGAAATTACTAACCAAATATAAGGACAAATGTAATTAAAATAATAAAAATTGATTTTCGATTCATGATCAGAATGATTAATGTCGGCTGAATATCGGTATTGATATTTATATTCGAAAAAAATCGATGAAAAAAAACCAAAAATCTTTAAATGCCATTGCATGGTTCATCAATATCATTATTTGATTACTGTATGTTTTAATCACCCATATCTATGATAAATATGTTAAATGTTATCCAGATCAACTTTTGTCAATCCATTTTCCAATTTTGTTATTTTTGTTAATCATTATCACCTTTATCCTTATTATCGACTGATTTATTAATTTCCAATCACCTTAAACATTTCGGATCAAATAAATGATATTTAATTGTGAATACCAATAATTGAGAGCAAAATATTTTTATGTTTCGATTCAATTATGATGTTTCGATTTGTCACTACTTCTATTCTTTCTTAACAGAATCAAATATTGATAAATAAACCAAATATTTGGCAATTAGGAGAAAATGAAGGAAAAACTTTTACATAGTTATTATTAATTTGTTTTATCTCCGAAAACCATTTGACCACAAGAATATGAAAAAATGAAAACAAAACAAACAACCGAAAATTGCCCACGTAAAGATTATAATCATAATGATGATGATGATGATTACCACAACTTCAATCTATCAATTTTGGTGATCCAATTTTTTCTTTAAGTTTTTGTTGTTGTTGTTGTTGTTTCTGCTATCTTTAAATAATTTTCTTTTTGGCTTACTTAAATTTATCAATTATTATATTTTTTTTTTAGTTCATAAAATGTCTATTTTTCCGAGATAGATTTATCTAATCTTAATTAAATCTATTAAATATAAATACAACAAAAAACAGACTAAAACGATAATTATTCAATGAACCAATTGTTTTTGTGGCCCTTAAGCAAAATGCGGATATTATTATATCACCCAGAAACAAAACAAAAACAAAAAACACTATACTATGGCTAAATGATAATGATTGTGACCAGGTGTACCGGAATTATAGAAACAAAACATCAAAATTATGTTGTTGTTTGTGATCATCATTTTCATCATGGACAAACACAAATAAACACTTTTAAAAAAATAGATGGATAGATAAATTGACCTAATTTGAACGAGAGAAAAATAAATACACAATAATTTTTTTGAACAAAAAAAAAACTCAAAAGTTTCTTCCGTTCCAACAAGTGTGTAAACAAAAACAAATGTTTTCAAAACAAACATTTATTATTGAAAATGACCTATTGAAATTTTTTTTCACACAATAACCCGTTGCTTTCAATTTCATCATATTTTTTTCTGTTTGTTTGCTTGTTTTTTCATATAATATTTAATTTGAATGAAACAAAAAAAAATTGCTAACAAAATTAGAGTCTTTGTGAAACATTTTCCATGTTTTTTGTTTTTGCTGTTTACCGGTAAAGAAAATCAAAATGAAGATTTATTTGAAAAAAATCTCGCTAAAAGCAAGATTTCGAAAAATATTATGTATAAAGATTTTATCTCATTAAAAACAACAAGAAGTATTGAATCGCTTTCGAAGAAAATGAAAGCAAAAAATAAAAAATCCTTGACTTTTTGATGATGTCGATGAAAAATTATTTTAATTTTTTTTACAAGTTTTTGAGATTTTATCCAGAAGCAAAAATGGTAAATAAAATAATTTTATTTTCTATTTAGATCGGAGGCGTGTCTCATTTTTTTCAATCATTGTCCCGTGAGCGATGACGATAAATCGTCATCATCATCATCATCATTAAATCCTTTGAAAAAAATGGACGATCACGTTTTTTTGCCAAGTTTTTAAATCCATCATTCCATAAAAGAAAAGAAAAAAACTAAAATCCTACTTTTGGTAAATTTTTCCAATTATCCATTTATCAAATTTTTTCTATATGAAAAAATCTTATTACTTAATCATATATTGAATTACTTCATATCAAATGACAGTAATGATTTTTCGTTTTTGCCGCTTAAATATATTGATGCAAATATTTAAAATATTCGATTTTTATCATATATATCGATAGTATCGCCCATTACATGTGTTTATAAACAATGACTTTCAATATAAAAAAAAGATATTTATTTTGTTTATATTTCTTCGGTATAATTCTTTGGATCTAATTCTTCATGGTTGACTTGTTTCTTTTCATGTATAAAATGTACTCTAATGACAATGAAATTTTCAATATTAATAATATTTTTAATTACTTTACCATTATATAGGTAATTACAACGGAATGTCATTTTTTGTAACGAACGTCGGTCAAAACTTTGTAAAAACTTTTTTGTCATCATATGTGACAGGTCATTGTTGTTTAACGACTGGTCATTATCATGTTCGCTCGCTATGGACAACTAAACATTTTCAAAAACAGCAAGAAAATTACTATAGTGTTCTTGGATTGAAACATGATTGTTCACAAGATCAGATTCGCGCAGCCTATCTAAATCTGTGTAAAAAATATCATCCAGATAAATCAGCTAAAAACAATACAAGCGAACAACAAATAATCGACGATACTGCCCGTTTTCAAAAGATCAACGAAGCTTATAATTGTCTTTGTAAAGTGGACACCCGTAATCAATATGATTTGTCACTTAACTTTGGCCTTGGTAACAATCCATTCATAAAAAGGCCACCAAAAGGCTATTATTATCATCAACCACCGCCGATGGATCATAGTGACCCGTATCATCATCGTTACTATTATCATCAATCACCATTCAGTGATCGTGCCACTTATAATCATTACAGGCATATGCGTGAAACTATGTATCAAGAACGCGAAGGATACTCGAAATTTCATCGTGAAATGTTCGGTTCTAGATTCACCAGTTTTATATTGTTGACCTTAGTCATAACAATTATCTTAGAGGTTTGTTTTTATTTTAAATTTATCTTTATTTTTTTTTACGAAATCAGTTCAAATTTGTGTAGGCAAAATTACATGTGATGTAAATTTTTTCAACACCATTGATCATTAATTTTTCTTTTTTTATTTAAATTTTGATCAGAGCATTAATAGTTTGTTGAATTCAGAAATCCATCAGCTCAATACGAAAAAGCGATACGATGTCATCACTGAAATTTATAAAGAGTAATTTTATGTTTGATTAATTCATTTTTATTTTTAAAAAATCATTCTATTCAAAGTCTTCCATGAATGTTCGTGTCCGATCAAACAAAAGATTTACATCACTTTAATTTTGTCTATCTTTAGAATTAAAATTTATTAATCAAATTTTTTTTCACAAAAATAAGTACTTATCAAATTTTTATATCTTTGTTTTGTTTCAAATAGATTAGAGTTTATATTTTATGGAAAGAAAGTTTGAAAAATAAAAATACAATAATAATGGATGATTTCAATATAAGACAATATCGGCCACGAACAAATATGGACGACGATCACGAATAGATTGATTGATTATAAAAATGGAATTTTTTTTTTATTATAACTAATAAATTTTGTCTATATTTTGATTATTATCATAGACATATGCGGAAAAATAATATCAATCAGGAGCGAAATGGAAAACATGATTAATTTTCTTATTGGATGGATGGTCACTTTTATTCTATAAGGAATTTATAATGATACGAATAAATTGTGATAATATTTTTTTGTCTTTGTAATTTCACTAAAAAAAACAATTTTTTAAATAATAATAAATTATCATTATATAAAATATAAATACACAAATTTTTATTTATTTTTATTTGTATCACTATCATCATTATCATCATCGTCGTCGTCTTCATCATCATTTTTATTTTTATTTTCGAAATCACGTCGAGCCTTTTGAATAGATGATTGAAATCTCAATCCTTGTTCCGATTGAATTGATCGTTGACAAACTGGGATTTTTTCCACATGTCCATGACTACCATCCAAATCATCTTCGTCATCATATTCTTCGATAATTTCAAAACTATCAATATATTCTCGAAGACTTCTAATCTCTTCTTCAAGTATATTTGAATAGAAATATGCTTTGGCCAGATCTCTTTGTAGCAATTTCTTCTTTTTCTTCAATTTTTCAATCTGTCTTTCATGTGGTGCACGAATTGCTGTGATTATAGCATGTACAACACGTAATACACGCCAAACTCGAAGAACAATCAACAGGTAAAGATATTTTTTCATCTTATGATCCAAAAAAACAATATCCAAACCAAATGAAACCATAACAATCAATGCATCCAATGCAATTTCCAAGTGTAAAAAATATTTATATCCTTCCGAATAAAAACGAACTAAAAGTTCGACATTGAACAAGAACAATATAAAAATCGACGTCAAATGAAATACATTTTCAACATTGTGCAACAGGTGAGCGGAATGTTCGCACTCTAAAAGATGGTGATCATTAACGCTACTACCATGACCAGACGTATGTTCGTGTTGAGAAACAATCGATTCATGTCCATTATGCTCGACCATTGGTGCTGATTGTAGCAATGGACTAATTGTTGAAACGATCGCATTTGCTACTTGTTTACCTGTTTCTGAATGTCCGTATGGACAGTCTTCGTTTTGAAACAATCTCAATTCGATGATCATTTCACCCAATACCATGACACAATCCAAAATGATCAATACAACCATTAAAATTTGAAAATTATAAGTATTCATTACTGAACGCAATTTAGTCTTAAAACTGGGTTCATCATCCGGAATATCCTTCAATAAACGATGTGCACTAGCAATATGTTTATTCGTGTATAAGCCACGTTTCGGCGGTTCGGGACCTTCTTTTTTCTCCATATCGATTGGAACGGCATCCGGTTGTTTTTTGATTAGTTTTTCCTGTTGTTGTTGATGTTTTTTGTGGACCAACTGTGCATAGCTTTTTCCAATCGATTGTTTTTGTTGTGGACTTAAAAAATTCAAACGATACATACTATTTGCATGTGATCCATAACGATTTAATCGATGAAGATTAGGTTGCGATTGATATGGAGCTCTTCGAATTCGTCTACTCAAACGACCTGATGGTTCATTAGTGCGGCCATCCTCATTGGCTGCATTTTTGTCGAACCGTACCGAATGTCCGGTCATTTTTTTGAAATTATTCGCATACAATGAAAACACGTCCACACATATACTATCACGAAATCAAATTAACGTATTTTTCGATATGAACAAAATCAAGTCATCAAAAAAAGGATTTATCCTTTTCTGATCAAGGAGGTTTTATATTTAGCCAACATCAAGGGGCATAATCAATATTTAACAGGTAAAAAAATCGATAAATTAATTAATGCCGATTCATGTTTTACGTTTAGTAACAAATTCAATTTATTCTCTCTTTCTCTATACATTGGTTACAACTTTACCGACGACCGGAATCGATATAATAATGATTGATATAGTTTTTTTTAATCTCCCCATTTTATTGATTTAACCTTGATTAATTAATTTTGTTTTTATTGTATTATATGATGTAACTTATAGAAAAAAAGTGATTGAATTCAATGCTAATTATTATTAGGGTTTATGAATTTCTCCCAAGAAAAGAATTTGTCCAGATAAATTATGACGAATAAATAAAACAAATGGATGATTGAATTTATATACGGCTGATGGTTGTAAAGACATTTTAACGAAACCAACATATGTTGATGCAGCAGCTTCAGTTCCATCTTCATTTATATCGATCAATGCTGTGTGGCGAACATCATCGACTGCAATCGGTAAATCTTCGCTTATTCCTGATAAATCGGCTCGTCCGAATTCAAAAATATTCACCAAACCCATATCTTTCAATGTTTCTTTTAGATTATATCGACCCATAATGCGTAATTTAGGAAATATAACTGTTGCTTCATTGTCATCTTCATTGAGACGACTAATGGCAGCTTCAATATACCAAGGATTTAATGCATTACGAATGTACATAAGATTCGATGAATTTGAATTACGTGGAAGTATAGCAAACATGCTTACATCTTCACCTTCGTAAGGAAATTCCACCAAATCTGATTCCAATTCCGAAAGATAAGCCGTTGCTACTCGTCCTTGTCGTTTCATATATAAAACATCATTGAATGTTTCATTATCCAAGCCATAAAATATTCCTGGAGATGTTTGATTAGCCATAAATCGATTTCTCCAATTTCCTTTGAAATAAATGGCATTAATCAAAGCCAACTGAGTTGTTCTTGCTGGTGGTTGACGAAGAAAGTTACGAATCATGCCATTTGTTCGTGCTGAACACCATTGATTAATGGTAGCCATTACCAATTCACTTTCGCTAACGAAATCAGCTTCCAACAGTTCACTATCAAAATATCGTAGAATCGTTTCATTAAAATTTGCTCTTATACGATAATTTCTATTGATCATCAATGCGTTAGCCATTTTCAATGATATAGAATTCATTCCGTTTTGATCGAGTTGAGCCAATTGCTCGATGGCCTTTCGTGCACGTTTGGCCACTTTTTCTCTATCATCGATATTTGCCATACGAAAACCAAGAACAGAATTTATTTGATCAAATGTTTCACCATTTGAACCTTGTTGAAGCATTGACATAATGATTGTAATACTGAATGGTGAAAGAAAAATATTTTCGCGAATTTCTTGTCGTTCATTTTCTTGAGATCGTCGTTGCAGAATATTGAAACCAAAACTATTACTTGCCAATACAAATTCTTTTGGAACTAATGGTTCCGGATAGGAAATGGCAAGTGTGAATAAAGAAAAAAACAAAATCAAGCAACACCAAGACATTTTCAAATGCAAAAAAAATGAAAAACAGTGTTCAATTGACGACGATGATGATAGTGAAATGAGAAAATGTAAAAATTCAAAAATAAAGAACTTTTCAATTCTTTATATTGATGGTGTAGAACAAAGCAGACGGGCTAGTTTTATTCAACCTTCTTTAAACTTATCATTTTAATAGCTCGAGAAATAAATTTAAAAAAACCTGAATAATTTTTTTCAAGAATCTTTAGTATAATAGTATAGCTGATATAATATCTTTTTCATAAAAAAGTGGCAAAACATGAATTTAAATTTTGTTTTTTTCGACAAAAAAGTGGACCCTTCAGGTGGATACAAAGAAAACTTTTATTCGGTTGTTCACATCATTGATCTTTAGTAGATGTTACCATGTATGATCACGATAGATTATCTAAACTTTAAACAAAAACAACAAAAATTGATCATCACTGACATACGTACGAAACATACGAACATTGACCATAAAATCAAGGTCGAACAAAATGAATTTAAAAAACCAGTTTAGTGATTTTGAAAAGATAAACTAAGCTAGACTTTTACGTGATAAAATCATTTTAATAACAGATGGATCGGTAAAGAACAGAATTTTTATTTTTATTTTTACAAGGTTTTCTTTACAGAAAAAACCAACGACAAGTATGATTGATGATTTGAATCGTTAATTATAGTGAAAGTTACAAAAAAGACTTAGAAGATAAAAATCTATTCCCGTTTTGATTTTGTCAAATCATTTCAGGTTTCGTTTTTTTTGTCAATCGACTTCGAAAAAATGATAAGATAGTGTTCAATATCGTCGGAATAGAAATCGAAAAGATCCAAAAAAAAAGTTGGAAAAAAATAAAAATCAATTTCCATTCAAATTTATCCATTCAATTCCATTAATAATTATTCAAAAAGGATTTTTAAAAAAAATTAATTAAAATTAAAACAGAACAAGTATGTTAATGTGTTTGTTTGTGTGTGTGAATTTTCAAAGTGGGTTTGGGAAAAAATTCAATTTTTTTACCAATCATTTCAATTCTTGAAAGAAAATAGAAACACAGAAAAAATTAGGATTAAAAAATATTAAAGATTTTTTTTTCTTTGTACATGTTCATTTTGTTGTCAGATTTAGATCGTCTTTTGTTTTTTGTTCCTATCAAAGAATCTAATAAAGATATGATATTTTTATAATCAATAATAATAATAATAATAAATATTCAATATTTTTTTTTCGATTGATAGGATAATGAGTTATAGTATTCAGACATGTAAGGTATATGTGAATCTTATAAAGAGTATAATAATATGCATTTTGTAAAACATTGTATATGCGGCGGCAAATTATACATACAAATATTTATATTTTTCTGTTTGTTTTATTTCATTTTGATTAAAAAAATTTTTTTCTCCGGGTTTGTGTCATTGCCTGTGTGTGTATGTGTTGGTGTGTGGGGTAAGATGTGTTAATTTTTTCTGATTGGATACCAATAGTAAAGTTGATAAATATCGGTATTTATAAAGATTATTTTTTTGTTGTATTCGGACGTTTCGCATCTTTATCATTAAATATTATTAGAGATTTTTTATAATTGGTTGACTTTTTTTTCAAAAATTTTTCTTTCAAATATATTGCGCTATCCAACGAAATCCTTCACCATAACCTTGTCGCCGTAACACTGAACACATGAACAATTCTAGCGGTCTTCCGGGTAGGTCACTTTTGGCTATTTTAGTCTATTGAATTTGAAAAAAAGAATTAAAACATTTCAACGATTCAAGATTTTAAAGATTTTTTACTTTTCCAGTGGTTTGACCGTTTAGGTTAAAGTAACCACGAATTTCATCTTCACTTGCGGCACCCATTTTATCAATTTTGTTGCCCAATATCAGAACAGGACAATTAGATAATTGTTCATCACACAGTAGACTCTATTAGCAATAAATCAATAAATTATGACCAAAGAATTTCGGATAATTAAAGATAAACTTACATCTAGTTCATATTTTGCTTCTGGAAAACGTACACGATCGCAAGCATCGATAAGAAATACAATTGCATCGACAGCTGGAAAATAATCTTTCCATACACGACGAGCTTGTGAATGACCACCTAAATCAAAGGTTGTGAAACGTATATTTCCAATCGATAATTCTTCCGATGCTATGAGATGTAAAAAAATAAGATGGTAAAATTGATTTCTCAATAAATAATTTTTGTTCAACTCACTGGGATGTAACGTCGGTACATGTTGAGCCATACGATCATCTCTGAGCATATGTAACAATGTCGTTTTACCTGCATTGTCTAGACCGAGAAACAAAAGTTTACCACTCTTTTTCCAAAGACCTAAACGTACATTTCCATAATCAATGAAAAAAAAGAAATTGATTATGATGAGCGATGAAAATTGTGAACAAAAAATATATATTGGATAAAAATAACAATATCAACAAGTTAAAATGTTTATCAATAATTTCTCAATAATTTTTTAGTATTACTATCATCCATAAGAGAAAACACTACGTCACTAATCTTTTCTTTGATTTAAATGTACCCTACAGGGCCATTTTTCATTTAATTTTGTTTTCCGAATAATTTTGGTGTATGGATCAGAAATAAACATCAATGTAAACACATACCTAGAAAACCGAGAACACCACTGAAAAAATCCAATATGAACATGATTGATTTTATTGAATTTATGATTTATTTGGTATTTTTCTTTCGAAATATATCAGGAGATTATAATTCTCGATTGAATAAAATTAAAAACAATCGATTAATTAATTATAATTATTAGCACACAAATATACACACAGGAAAAAAACGAATTTAAGAGGAAAAAATCTTTGAATATAAAAAAACTGAACGTAAATTTTTAAAAATTCAATTAATTAATTTAATGAAAATATAATCTACATACAATGGTCTTTTAGCAATGGACCGATTTTCATCCATTCATTCGTATGATGATGACTATGCCGATGATTTGCTGATGGTAATGCTTACTGTCGGTGATGATGATGATGATGATGATGATGATGATGATGACAACAACGCGTTAAGGACAATATCAGGCAATTTTAACGCTGATGTGGAAATGGTGTTATCATCATCAACATGATTACCACTGCTTTAATAATCGTTCATGATTTTCTTTGCTTCTACAATTTAATTTACCGAATCAACTTTAACGCGTTCGCTACCAGCGACGCATATATGCGTCGTTTATTTGCTGTAGTTCTATGTGTTTTTCGAAATCTCTGGTAGCGAACGCGTTAAACTTTTTATATTACCACTACCATTTATAAATCATTTTTCAAGACTAAATCATTTTTGAAAACGATGTTTGTGTATGGTGTTACAATGTATGAAGTTGGCAAAAAATCAATTCGAATTTTATGCCATGTGATAATTGAAAAGCAAATTTCAATTTTTATCGATTGTTCAAATAAAGTTCCAGAATCATGAATAGATTTTGCATTCAATGGAGAAATTGTTTTGGTTATATTAATTCAACTTTTACAAAAAATCCGTCAATTTTATCCGTGCCTCAAATCATCTCGTATAATTCAAATCGGCAAAAATGTCAAGCTGGACGTTATAAGGTTACATTGAAACGTAACCGTCCATTAACTTATGAACAAGCAAATAAACCTAGTTATATTGGTGTTCGTAAAGGTTGGAATTCATGGAATACCAGTTCTTTGGTGGGCGTATCATTGACAAGCGAAGTAACCATTGATGATACATTTATTAGAAAATTTTTAGCTGGTACATGGCATCGTTTATTTCTCAGCGAAATTATAATCAAACGTCGCGGTAATATGATACATATTGGTGGTATTGTTAATCAGGCTATTCCTGCACGAAAATATTACTGGTTAATTGGTTACACGGAAGAGCTATTGTCTCATCTATTAAAATGTCCTGTTAAGGTCGATGTGTCAACAACAGCAGATCGCAATGCTCTTATCTATAAATACATTTAGATTGTAGATTATTATGTAAATAAAATCTTGAATGAATAGAAAATTATAATTTATTGTACGATTTTCATGAATTATGTGGATTAATAATTCAATTTTTTATTGAAAAAATTTAGCCAATTTTTCAGTATCACGAGCCATCAAAGCAGCATTCAATCGAACCGTTTCTATCGATTGCTGAATCGAACGATCCCATCCTTTATTAGGATTCACGCGGAAAAAATCTTCAATTTGATGAGCCATTTCTTCAGTTTGAAAATTTTCAATCAAACTTTTTATCAATGCATTGCCTAGGAATCCAACATCATAACGACTCTTGAATAGCTCGTAATTAGAGATGAAAAATTCCCAAGCAGTTCGACGACCAGATGGATTACACGCCACTGACGCAACAACAAAAATAGTGTCTTGTGAACGTACCTTATCCTAGAATCATGACATTGTGAGGTTACAGTTATCATCTGATAAATAATTACTTACACTAATTGCAAATTTTAGGACACGTTCAATGAATTCAGGTTTTTTTACGGAACCTAGCGCTGATTGTATACGCATTTGTTCCTCTTGAAGTTCGGCTTCATCATGAAGTTTCATGATTTTCTCCCATATTTCATCTGTGATTTGACTTGACATAGCTCGATATACAGCTGAACGAAGATCAGCCGGTATTGATTTTCGTTTGGCAACATGATCATCAAAAGCTTCATGACATTTTTTCATAACTTCAGGATATTCGAATGTAACCAAACGATTGATTAACAAAGGACGAAGTAAAGTTTTTAGATGTGGTTCCGATGGTTTAGGATCCCAGCCGATTTCACCAAAAACTTTTTGTGTAATCAATTTTGTACCAAATTCAACAAATTTTGGGTGAAAATCATAACCATAAAGCAATTGATTATATTTGCTCAGTATGACGTTCATTACAGTCCATACTGAATATTCACATTCATTACGGAAAGATCCGATAGCTTGGAAAAGAACATCTGAACTTTTACGTCCAGCCAATGTCATAGAGTAAAGATCATTGATTAAATTCAAACGATCAGCTGGGTCTAATTTTTGTTGGCCAATACCTTCCTCTAACAGACGGATGAATAGATCTTCTTGTTGATATTGAACACGATAAGTTGCCATAGCAAAAGGATTCAATTTTATCCATTCTTTTTGCAAATCGATGAGACTACCAAGTTCAAGAGTTTCAACACGCTTTTCTAAAAGAATTTCGGCTTGCGGTTTTTGAACATCCTTAGCAGTGATCACTTGAACTGGAACAGCCCATAACATTGTTTTATCAGCATCAGACAATTGACCATCTGAGTTGAATTTTTCCTGAGTCAATTCCAATCGATTTGATCCTTGACAATTGACAGTAACAACCGGATAACCTTTTTGTTTAGTCCAAGTAGTCATCATACGACGTACTGGTTTTTGGCTAGCCTCTTCCAAAGCATTCCATAAATCTTCGGTTTGTGTATTTTTATAACTATGACGGGAAAGGTACAATTTCATTCCTTTACGGAAATTTTCATCGCCAATATAATGATATAACATTCGATTAATGCAAGCCCCTTTATTATAAGAAATGTCATCGAATATTTCTTCTACTTCCGATGGATGTCCGACAGGAATTTCGATTGGATGAGAATTCGCCAACGAATCTAAATTCATTGCAGATAAGAATGTGTCTGAAACGAATTGTTTCCAGATCATAAAGTCTGGGAACAAATGATCCACACACAAATATTCCATGAACATCGCAAAGCCTTCGTTTAGCCAAAGATCTAAAATTGGCATAGAATTATCAGATTAAATTCAATATAAATGAAATATCTTACGTGTCCACCATTCCATCGTTACCAAATTGCCAAACCATTGGTGAGCCAATTCATGTGCAACAGTCAATGAAATGCTTTGTTTTCGGGAAGTAGACGTATGGGATGGATCGACCAATAAACATACTTCACGATAAGTAACCAAACCCCAATTTTCCATAGCGCCAGCAGAAAAATCAGAAATGGCAATCAAATCCAATTTACTCAATGGAAAAGGAATTTGAAAATAATCGGTATAAAAGTCTAATGATCGAGCAGCAACATCTAAAGCAAAACGTCCTTGTTCAGATTTTTGTAAAGGTGTATAAACTCTAACAAGAACACCATGTTTGGATCGAGTTTCGATGTAATCATATTCACCAATAACGAATGCAACTAAATAGGTGGACATAATCGGTGTTCGATCAAATTTAACTACACGTCGTTTTTGGGAATCTCGATTTTCTTCTTTTACGGACATATTGCTTAAAGCAACCATTTTGTCATCATTATCACTAACCGGCACGACTAAAGTTATATCGAATGTAGCTTTATGTGCCGGCTCATCCCAACATGGAAAAGCTTTTCGAGCATATGTTGGTTCGAATTGAGTGACAGCAGAAAAACGTTCTTTTCCATCTGGACCGATATAACGACTTTTGTAGAAACCAGTCAAATTTTTATCCAATTCACCACTAAATTCTAAATTCAAGATGGCATTCATTCCCGGTACCAATTTTTCAGCCAGTATTAGAGTTGCTGTTTCTTCTTCAACATTGTATTTAATTTCTTTGATGTTGATTGCTATAATGAAAAACAAAAACGTCAAACAAAAATATCATCAATGAACATATGTTATCGAATCATTTACTTTTGTTATCGTTGGGCAGTTTCACATTGCATTGATCAGCACCATTTTCAATAGTCAGTTTATCCGAATTCAAAACAATTTCAGCAGTCGATTCATTCACTTTAAGATCAATTGATTGAGATCCTTCGAAAGTGAATTTCTTAAAATCTGGTGCCAATCTAATATGATAATTTATAGGCGTTACCAAACAGGGTAAACGTTGAAATGAAGTTTTATTCTCGGTAGTTGCCATTGTTTTCTTCGTACAAAAATTGGAAAATTGACGATGAATAGAAATATGGATCGATAATAGATAATTCTGATAGCTGAAATAGAACAATCGTTTCTCAATTAAAACCCGAAAATTTGGATACAAACGGCTGGTAAATGACACTGGAGTGAGAAAAATACAAAATTTTCGAATCGTATCGGATTGAAATTTAAAATGAAAAAACTAAAACAGTATTTGGTTATAAATTTATGTTATAACTAATCTATAAGATTAAATATTAATTTTTTGTTTACTTTAAAAAGTTGTTGAAAACTTATTTTTTCAGAAATGAAACAATTAAGTTTATCGGCTTTTATAATCGTCAAAGCTTAAACAATGATGACATGCAGAAACGTGTCAAAGTCCACATGCTTCCAGTACTTATCCATCCGTACATTTATAGTCACAATGAATCCTTGTTCTAATTCAACATTCGGTTAAGTGATAACACGAAATAATGCTTCTACACCAAACCGTAAACGATTGTGACTATTGGATAGCGGAGAAAATTTCCAAAAAAAAAAATTCTTTCAAATTAAAATTGTCAGCTGAACCAAAATTTTAATTTGAAAATGATTTCGTCTATCAATTCTATTCGTTATCGTTTTCATCAATTTATTTGTCGTAGATATTGTCATAATATTCGATCATTAGATACAATCAGAAAAATTCTTGATTATGGCCAACCCTCCGATTGTTATCAATATAAAGTTTATGTACATTTTTCCTATTTTTTAAATTTTAAAAATAGATTAATTTTATCTAGGAAAAATTCTTTTCCAGGGTTGGATACGTGGGAAGATACAAAAGAAAAAATCTAAATGGTTTCTTCAGCTAGATGATGGTAGTTCTGCTGAACGTTTGCAAGTTATTATACCCGTATCATTGATGGAACTAAATGATCGTTCAAGAATACAAAACGGTGCATCATTAGAATGTATTGGACGTTTGTCAGAAAGTTTAGGCCATCAACAATCTTTGGATTTTCTTTGTGATCAATTCACTGTGATCGGTGATTGTCCACCTGATCATTATCAGATTGGCCATTTGAAAAGTGGCATGGAATTTGATTTACTTCGTGAACAAATTCATCTGCGGCCTAGAGTTCGATATTTTCAATCGATTCTGAGGATAAGAAATGAATTATCTCGTGCTATTCATAAATTTATGTCTGATAATCAATTTATTGAAGTACAAGTGCCATTAATCACTGCAAACGATTGTGAAGGTGGTGGTGAATGTTTTACATTAAATCCCGCAAATTGGCCTATTACTAATCCAGAAAGATTATACTTTGGTCGTCCAACATATTTAACGGTATCGGGTCAACTTCATCTGGAAGCAATGGCCAGTTCATTATCTCGTGTTTATTGTCTAAGTTCAGTGTTTCGAGCAGAAAAATCAATGTCTCCCAAACATTTGAGTGAATTTTTAATGCTTGAATTGGAACAAGCTTTTCTTTTCGATCTCAAAACTTTAATGTCATTGGTAGAATCGCTTTTTCGTTATCTTCTCGATGAAATCGAAAAAAATTGTCAAAAAGATTTAGAATTTCTATTGGATATGAATCAGCATCATAAATATTATGATAAACTTAAAAGCTCTAAATTCCTTCAAATTTCTTATCAAGATGCTTGTCAAATGTTATCGAGTAAATATCCTCAATTGAATGAAAATAAAAAAATGAATCTTAATGCAGAAATGGAACGATCCATTTTGGAAATCTGTGATCATCAACCAATTTTTGTAACAAATTTCCCCATGGAAATTAAACCTTTCTATATGAAATCTACTGATGATGGTACAATGGCACAATGTTTTGATTTATTAACTCCAATTTGTGGTGAAGTATGTGGCGGTAGTCTAAGAGAAAATCGTTTAGAACGTTTAGTTGAACAAATCAAATCGAAAAATGTGATCAATAATACTAATCAATTAGAATGGTATCTAGATTTGCGAAGATTTGGATCGGTACCAACTGGCGGTTTTGGTTTTGGTTTTGATCGATTTCTGCAGACTGTTTGTGGTGTTGTCAATATTAAGGATGTTGTACCATTTCCTCGTTGGCCTTATCATTGTAGATTATAATCTGAATTTTCATTAGACCATTACAAAATTGATTGAAATAAAATATAAAAATCTTATTCTTTGTTCATTGTTCAGTTTTTTTTTCTTCACCTCTTTATTGTTGAACGAGTTGAAAATGTAACGTTGCTATATTTTGATCAGATTCTTTGCGAATTCTATATTCAAATGGATTTATATAGCATATTGGTTAATTGAGTCGCCAGAAAAAAAACACACGCACACACATCATATCAAAAACTTCTCCTTCCCCAGATTTGGACTAGACAAAATAAAATATATTGGTTACTAGTTCAAGGATACTCGAATTCTCTTTCCACATGCACATCAAATCTTCAATTCTTTTGGTGTATATGTTTTTTTGTAGGTGTTAAACGTATGAAAATTCTTGAAACCAGAATAAATCCCAGATATTCAATAATGAACAAAATATTGATAATAAAATTTCATTATTTTAAATGACAAAATTGAACTTGTCAACTTTACAACATAATTCCAATTATTATCATCATTATCATCAATATGGTGGCAATGCGGAAGTATAAATACAATAACAATAACAAAATTGAACATTCGAATTTGTAAAATTTCAATTTGAAAACCAATTCACCTTGCATTCATATTTGGCATAATTACAATAATAATCTACCTAATTTGGTTTCTTTTTATGAATGACAATCATAAAAATTTGATGACATCTTTTAACAATTAATGTGTCACCATTGTATAGTTTTATAATAATAATGATGATAATGATTTTGTTGTCCATTTTCAATTTGCTCTAGATTTTTCTTTTTTTTTAATAATTGTGATTTCAATTATACATCTTTATTGTTTCTTTTCTCGTTTGTATATTTGTGTGGTTACAATTCTTCACTGTTTATTTCGTTTTGTTTCAATAATAATAATAATAATTTTTCTTGTTCCTTGATCATATCATTTCATTTGATCATATGTGACACAATAATCAATGTATTATTTTTAATAATGTTTGTTTCGATGCCTGGCATTCAAGATTTTCAAGATGGTAAGTGATTTTTTTTGATGATGATGATGGTGATAATAATAATAATAATAATAATGACACTTGAAAGAAAAATCCTTTCATTCATCCGATAATATGGTTCATTTCAAAAACATTCGCGAATTGTTTTCATTTGCTCATTGTAATTGATATTGAATGAAATATTCACTCAGATTTTGTTTGTATGTGTGAATAACAAAAAACAATGCCATTGTTATTGATAATTATAAGAAAAACGTTTTTTTTTCTGTTGTTCTAATTTTGGGGTAATTACACCATCAATAATAAGAACAATATCTTAGTGATAACGGTATACCTAAGAAATTTGAAAATTATTTTTTTTTTCGAACAACAACCAAAATTAACCAAGGATTATTATTATTATCATCGTTAAAATCCATAAAACAGTATATAATTCGATTCTAATTTTTATTGGGATAAAATAAAAAAAATAAATAATAATATCCGTGATCTATGAAAGATGAATGATGGATGATGATCTAGTTTTTGTTTTGTTTTATTTTATTTGTTCACAGTATTTTTAACATCCATTCAAAATGAATCAAATTAGATGCTTGGTTTTTTTTTAAAACATCAAATTTAAATTTTTCTTTACTCTCCTTTTGATGAGATTTTGGTGGTTCAGGATTCAATTGTTTAGTCATATCATTATTATAATTCAACCAATATTTTTTTCATTAACTGAATAATTTATTTCAGGTGTGTTCATTATTCATCCAGAAAAAAAACTGGATATTTTCCTGTTATTATTGTTAGTGATTATGATAACTGAATTTCAAATTTGAAACCAAACCAAAAAAAAAATGTTGAACAAATTTATGATGATGATCATCATCATCATTGAACAATCATACAATATGGCACAATATAAACACATTATCATGATCATAAAGTTTTTCACATAATATAAACGAGATAAAATGGCGCCAACGCATATTCATCCTGTTTTTATTGTTGAAAGAAGACAAAAAAAAAATGATAATTTTTCCAAAAAATTCACCTTTCATTGTCGCTAGTGTGTTGGCCATGAAGATTATACGAGAAACTCTGTTTTAATCCAGTTTGTATTGTTTTTGTTGCTTATTTTTTTTCTCTCACAAATAAAGCGGAAATATAATATAATTTTTCATCATTATTGATTAATTTAAATCAGTTAAATTATAAAATCATTAAATTTGAATAATATTATTTAACATGATTTTTTTCCAATCATTATTATAAAATTAATTGATCGATTAATTGATTGCTTGATGATTTTCATACAAATCCATTCGAACGTTTTAACAATTTTTTTTCTCTTTCCATTTCCACCTATATGTTAAAATAACCGTTGATTAGTTCGAATATATTCGATCCAATTTTTTTTTCACCCAAAAAAATAAATCACGATGATTTGCCTATTCAATGTGTTTTTTTCTTTTTTTGTTTTGTTTCGAGAAAAAAATCCGTTTTTTTTTCAAATGATGATTATTCATTACCGTATAACAACATTTGTTTGTCCTAAATTCATTCAACCTTTTCTTTCAATCATTCATTCTATTTGTTTATACCAACAAAAAAAAACGAATCGAACCACCTTGTTGTTATCATCATCATCTATTTTCAAATGACAACTTGAAAAGAAAAAACAAAGCAAAAAAAATTGTTGATGACTTTTATTTCCACACCCAAGTATCATTTATTGATTTAATTTTTGAAATTGTATTTTACCTTGTTTTGTTCCCTGATGTGTGTCATCATCTTTATTTTAAAAAAATATTATTACATTGCTTCAATGACAATGTTAATGATGAAAAACATCATTTAAAAAAACAGCAATTATAATTTTGCCATTAAGTTTATTATGATTCTCCTTTTTTTTGTTGTTGTTGTTGTTGAAATGCTGACATAATAGATGCATTTGGTTATCTTGGTTTATCCATAATTTTTGTTGTTATTGTTGTCTGTTCGTGTTGAGAAATAGGATTTTGATTTTGATTGAAGATAATAATGTTTATTATCATTATTGCCATGAACTTGAACAATTATTATCAATGTTGTAACAATGTTGATGTTTAGATTTAGTTTTCACATTATTTTTTAGTTTTGTTATTGTTATTATTATTGTTGGAATTTTTTTTTTCATATTTCAAGAGATCACATTCATTTCATTTTTTTCCAAATAAAAAATTAGGATTTTTTTCTATTAAAGTTTTATTGAAAATTGATTATATTTTTTCATCCATCCTTTTACCTTATCTATCAGTATGATATATTAGAAACAGGCGATCCAAATTTTATTTCGGTACTCGGTATAAATACAATAAATTTCACCTTTTGAATTTGAAAGACATTTCACCGTGAAAAAAATTAAAGTAAAAAATCTTATATGTCGAACTTTGACCTCTCATTATCATCATCATCATCATCAACTTTCTCCCGAATATATAATAATTGTTCGGATGGGGAAATTTTCTTTTTCTTCTTCTTTTAATGTTAATCACACCAATATGAAATCATGATGGTGAAATGTTTAAAAAAAATCATTCATTTGATAAAAGGCCATGGTCATATTTCTTTCTTTTTTTTCTTATGTGGGTTTCTTGCTGTGATTACGATCATCATCAAACACACAAACAAAACGGACCCACATTTGTATATGTAATCAGGTTAGATTAGGTTAGGTTATGTTTTTTTTTTAATATTTCGATTTTTTAGATTTTAAAATCTAAAAAAATACACGTAAAACTTTTATAATAATACATCTCTCCTGTTGTTTATTCATTCATCGTCAATATATATCAGATGAATGTGATCGTTATATAAGAAGAGCAAAAAAGAAAAATTTTCCAGGTAAAAAAAAGATCAATCAAGATCATCATCATTTTTAGGTAGATATGCTATTGGTTTATCAAGCTAAAATCAAGTTTCGTTTGGCAATTTTATTATAACACAAACAAACAATGGATGTTTTTCTTCCAATTCGTTTTTCTTTCCAATGTGTTCACCCCATATGATGATAATTTTTTTTGGTTATGCTACGGCGATTGACATCCATTTAAGTTTTTTTTCTCCTATTTAGAAAAATACATCATTGTGTTCTGTGTGTATGTTTGATCTCTTTCATCGTCGTCGTCGTCGTCGTTTTCGTTGTTAATGTCGTACTGTTACCATTATCCAATATACATCTTTGAAATATTCACGATTTGTATTTTGTTTTTCTTCTTTTCCTATTCATCCATTATTATTATTATTATTTGATATTTTGGCACATAGGTCGTGGTCAAACATGCAACAACAACAATGAAGAAATTGTTGGAAAGAAGAAAAAGAAAAGCAAAAAAAATGGTAACATCATTACAACAGGATTTTTTTTTCATCTCTCTACTTTGCTAGCAGTACAGGTAAAGGTGAAATGTTGATGATTGTTATTATATGAATGATGATGATGATAATACCACTTGTTGAATTGGTTGAAGATTTCTCTTTTCACACAACCATCGTTGTCGTTATCGTTGTCGTCGTCGTCGTCGTTCAGTATCGTTATCGATATCGTTGAGTATATGTGGTGTGTGTGTGTGTGTGATAATTTCAAATGTAAAAACTCTTGAAAAATATATAGATCAATTTCGATCTTTTGATCATCATCATGACATTCGGCTGTTATATTTCAAATTTTTCCAGGTTTTCGTCATATATGTCGAAATGATGATGATGATTATTTATCTATAGTGGAAACGCAGAAAATTTCTTCAAAATTCAACCATCCTTTATTATCATTATTATTCACAATTGTTTTGTTAAATGTTGATCTTTTGGTTCATTTTTTTTGTGACATTTATTATTTTTCTAATACTTAACTATCATGTGAATTTTTTTGTTGTTGTTGTCATGATTTAACGGATTTCGTTTTCTTGGTCTCGCTCTGTTTAGTTTAATTTCAGTTTTTTTTGTGTGTTGCAAATTTATTTACCTGGTGATTCAAATCCATTCAGGTGTTTGTATGTCATTTTTGTTCTTGTTGTTCTATTTGTTCGATTTTTTTTTCGACCGATTGTCATCAGATTTTTTTAAAATCTTTTTTATATTCTCTCTTTCTTCGTTAAAGTGTATCTGTGCATATCATCAATAAAATTTTTTAAAGAAATCAACAAAAAACTGTCATCAATATTATAATGAATAATTTTCGATAAAAATGATGACAAAAATTCTTTCCCATAAACCAAACACAATGTTAAACAAAATGAAAATTAGCGAAAAAAAAAATTTCAATTTCAGCATTACTTTGTGTGTGTATGCGTTCAATCCAAAATTAACCTCACTTTCTTTTGTATGATTTTCTAAGGAAAATATATTTATATAATACATCCTCATCATCATCATCATCATCATCATTGACCCCTATTCGTTGAAAGATTTTCATTCATTTACCTACTGCTACTCTATCAAACAACAAATATTTGATCCTTGGAAATTTAATCAAATACAATATAATCGACCTTATGAAAGTTTGGAGAAAAAAAATAATTTTGAACCCAGATCTATTGTTGTGTGTCAAACATACCTGGTGTGATTGTGTCAATCCAACCAACAAAAAAAAAATTGAATAATCGACAATGAACAAATGATTGGTGTGACCGTTTTGTCCTCTCTGTTCACTCCATCCTGATCAATACTTAACATTCAAATTCAAAATTGATGAATTTTTGTTCGAATTTCAAAAACTCAATAATGATGATGATGATGATGATGTAATACTTTTATTTCAAATGTCTGAAAATGTGGTTATACATTTGTGTATACCTTCCTTTATATTCAAATTATTTAAAAGAAAAAGCAATTTAGAATCTATTCTATCGAAATGAAAATCCAATCATCAACTAGTCCAATGTTTTATCATTATTTTTGCCATTCAAATAAATTGATTTATATAAATCTAATCATTATCATCAAGATAATGATGATAACAATGGCGTCAACAACAACTTTGACATCATTATCTGCAATTATTACCAATAATAATAATAATAATAACAGTGGTAATAGTATTGGTCATTCTCAAATATTTCGAACAACTTTCACTAATTCATCATCATCATCATCATCATTATTACCGAAAAAAATACTTAATCCTTCAATTACTAGTACGAATAATAATAATAATAATGAATTGCATTCATCAAAAATTTATCATCATAATTCAATAATGATGATGCGACCATCATCATCATCATCATCATCATCAACAACAACGACAACTAATAATGATAATAATATAATTATGAGCTTCAATAATCAACAACAGAATCCGAATATAACCTATAATGATTTATTTCGTCAACATGATCATATCATCAATACGAATAAACATTATAATGATGCAACTGTTTGTATACACAGATTATGTGTAAGACAAAATGGTAATGTTTTTTTCTTTTCTTTTTTTTTCAATTTCATCCATTCTTCTAAAATAATTCCAAAATGATATAAAGCAATGACCTTTCAACTTTTTTTATAAATACATTCGAATTGAAGAATATTGGGTGTGTACACGAATGTTTAAATAGAAATCGAATGCTATATTTCTTCATCATGTATTTTTTTTTTGTTCGTTCATGTGTTTTTAGCTACTGGGTTTCTTCATTAATTTCAATGATAAGAAAAAATTCAATATGTTTTCTTGATTCTTTCAAATTCATTGTTGATGAGTCACGATCCTAAATAATGTAATAATAATAATAAGTCCAGCCTAAATTGACCAAAAAGCTATATAATTTTGATTTTTCTTCGTTTGCAATCATCCAACAAGCCAATCGACCAATCAACCATCATGATGATGAAGATGATGATCATGCAACAGATATTATAATGTCTAGATGGAAAGAAATCGATTCGATTGTTGTTGTTGTTGTTTGATGGTTATGTGAATGATGATGACCAAACTACAAAACCATAATCATCATTATGATCAACACAATTTAAACACAAATAAATGATTCATTTCTTACATATCATCAACATAATTTGTATGAGAGAAAAACTTGTATTTCTTTGAAAAAAATGGGCAGATGAAATTTCCATCGACAAATGCAATAATAATAATCTGAAATTATATAAATCGGCTTTTTTTCATTGACAAGAATAATTGACATTGGATTAAAATTCAATTCATTTGAATGATTAGATTCTATTTTCTTTATAAATTATTTATCGATACCATTTTTTCTAAAAAAATTTTGAAAATTAAAAAGGACATTATGTAAGAGAAAACAAAGCAAACAAAAAAGAGAAGAAATTTCCTTCAAAACATAATGATGATTGATGCGGAAATTGATGATAATAATAATGAGGATGATGATGATATCAAAGATTTGATAAATTGAAATGACATTGCTTATTTATGGCCAAATTTACCTTTAGGTAAAATGATTTTCTCTTTCAATTTTGATTTTCGACAACAACAACAAAAAAGTGACCTCCGTTTTCATGATACACATATCGACATAAAAATTATTGATAAAATGAACCACATATGTTTTTTTTCATAACAAAATCAACATCTAAAGCATTGATTTTTTCAACAACAAAAAAAAGATGATGATTTTTTCAATTTCTACTTTCTCCCTATCATGATGATGATGGTGGTGATATCGCTTTTATTCAATCTTAATTTTTATCCCTGAAGCCATGGAAGCAGGATCCTCTCCATCATCATCATCATTATAATCGTTTTTTTCAAAGATTGAAAATATAAACTTTTGGTTTTCATTTCATTCATTCATTCATTCGCAAACATAATCGTGTATATAATGAAAAATTCATTTCATTCGTCAAATAATGATGATGATTTTGTTGTAATAATAATAATAATGATGATGATGATTATATCTAAGGTTCAGGGCCAATTTCTATGATTAATTTTTTTCATACATCTTTTAAATTTCTCAATTTTTTTCAAAAAAAAAATTGGATTTTTATTCTTGTAGAAAATTTAGATGGATGATTCTTGGAGAAACATTGAATTTTATCTGATTACAGAGAGAATCTGTTTGAATGAAATTTTTTTTTGAATTATTTTAGATACTAATTATTGACTGCTTTGTTTTCTTTCTTACCAAAAAACAAAAATAGGCCATCCACAGCCATCATCCGGTGTTGAAATATGTTATAATGATAAAGGTGATATGGTTAAACATGGTGAACAATATGTTCCACTTGGAATCGATACCTGTACACAGGTTTGTTTTTTGGATTATTATTTTATTTTTTTTTCTTTAATAAAATTTTCTAATTTATATTCAATTTATAGTGTACATGTATGCATGGAAAAGCAGAAATGTGTATATCGGTATTATGTTCTCCACCAGAAAATTGTCGGTTAGTATGCCATAAACAAAATTGATGTGAATGACATAATTTTTGTATGAATGAATAATGAATATGAAAAAAATATTTGAACAATAATCAATTAATTAATAAACAATTATTTGGCCTGTTGAATAATGTATATGAATTGAGTAATCAATGGCAAATTATCTTTTTGAACCTTGAAATAAATTTGTTGTTGTTTTTGTTTCGTTATCTTAATTAATCCAGAAAAAATAATTTTCCATGAAAACTAATAAGAAAATTTTGTTTTTTTTCTATAGACGTTATCATGAATTAACAAATAAATGCTGTGAATTTTTATGTATCGATGGTGGAAATGGAAATGAAATAATAAATTCAAATAATGGCAATAGTGATATGGCTATACGAATGATAAACACCGGTACTGGCCATCATTATCATTCAAACAATTTCAATGGTGGATTACAGAATGGTTTGCGTTTTCTTGGCAATAATAACAATAAAACTGCCATATTGACAAAAGGCGAAACGAAAACATTCCATTCAATTCCAACATCTAATCTTGGTTTACGATTAATCACTAGTACTGTCACATCGTTTTTAATTCTTGCATTATTATTATTCATGATTCATCGATTACGTCAACGTCGTCTTCTGATGATGATCCGACGTTTACAAAATCGTCGGCTTAATCATATGAATGCCAGTAATTCTGGCCATCATCTTCCTCCACCACCTCCTCATTGTAATGATCCTTCAGGTTATGGTGTCGATCAATTGGTCACAACACCGATGCGTTTATTCGGTCTAGGTGGTCATTCATCTATTAATGGACCATTTGGTCCTTTTGATTTGATGGGACCTGGTTCGATTGAACCACCCCCACCATATACATTTTGGAAACCTCCATCAATGCCTGCTCAATGTATTGAACAACAACAGCAACAACAGCAATTTCCTAGTTTAACCGAGACAAATGACCTTTCGCCTGTTCAACCCTTACCAAATGAAGCTCCGCCAAGCTATGAAGAGTCAATCCAAGTCAGTAACAGCAACATTGCTATGTCAAATGCAGCCCTTATTATTGGTTGTCAACAATCTTCATTATCGCAACAGTTTAGCAACACTCAATCATCAAATCATCACAATGAAATCATCAATGTTTTGGACCATCAGCCATCATATTCGGGGTATGTTATGACACAATCTCAACCACAAAATTGGTTAACGACGACAACGACAACACCTCATAATTCAATAATTCGATCAATAAATTTGCCTCAACAGTCTATAATTGAAAATCAGCCAATGGATCAAATACAGCAGACATTTACCAAACAAATAAGCCATTCAAATAATTCATCCGGTAACAGAGCGAATACACATGCTCATCATAATAATCGTTATTATCAGCCGAATAACTTAATTCATCATAATAGCATCATAGCGACGGATATTAAACCTCTTCCTGTTTGTTATAGAGGACAATCTTTAAATGTTGATCCACAGATTCGACATTGTGTTCCGAATCCACCCGCAACTATGCGAAATAATCTTTTCTATCCACAGAGATTGATCTCACATTTAGCTTCATCATTGGCATCACATAATGGTAAGATTAAATGAAATCAATTTTACGAATCAATTTAATTTTTTGAAAAATTCTGTAGATCTTTCACAATCACAACCATCTGGGCGATCAACATCCACTGATCAATATATAACACGATTACATGTTGAACCACCAATTTCCAATCAAACATCAGTCAATTATGGCCGAACAATGATAATGCCTGTAAATAATAATTCCCAACAAACTCACGAAACATCAACCTTACGAACACATTTTCCAAATGCTCGATCAACAATGTTACAGCAGCCGCAATCATCAATAATGTCACGATGCATTTACAACAATAACAGTATTCATCAACAGCAACAACAAACGCAAAATCATTCTCAAATTACGAATAATCAATTATCTACTAATCATCATTGTTCAACAACGATGATAAATAATAATATTAACGAATCATCAAAAGAAAAGATTATTCAAAATGATTCGATAAATTCGCCATCATCATCATCGGAATCATTATCCCAATGTACAATTGTTCGAAAGCCAATTGATGTAAATCAAACCGGAGCAACCATTGAACAATCATCCTCAAGACAATCAATAATATCTAATCAACAATCACATAGCTCACATCATCATCATAATTTGAATCGTCATCGAAAAAAATCTAAATCAAATCAAGATTCAAGTAATCAAACCATGACATCAAATTATTCCTCACCATCTTCTTCTTCTTCCTCATCATCATTATCATCATCGTTGGCCAATTCATATTCGGATGATGGTAGTTCACCATCGACAAGAATATCAGCTTCATCATCATCTTCATCATTGTCTTCATCAAGAACGAACAACACGATGATGACAACTACGACGACCACCTCAACGACAACGAATCATAATAATAATACTGTAATTCAAGTTAAAGTTGATACGATCAGTCATCTATAATAATGTCAAATTAATTTAGTTTGTTTTTTTTCGTTATGTCAATTGCCAACATTTTTTTTCTGGCCAAAATTGTGATTGAATAATAATTTTCTCCCATGTTCTGGTTATTGAATAGTGGGATAATATTTTTGTGAATATATTTTAAAAATAAAAATGTATAAATTCTGTCAAAATAAAAAAAATTGCCCCACTTGATTTTTCCGATCATATATAAAATAGCAACAAAATGATCGAAACGAAAATTGTCGATCAGAATAATAATGTTGTCTATAATTGTTTCGTTTGGAATTTCGACTTGGAAATTAATTGGCATTCTAACCGGTATTATCTGGCAATTAGGACATCTAGCAACGGAAATTGGTTCTTGTTGCTGCTTTTGTTGTTAAAAGTTAGAAACAGCAAAAAAATTGTTTACTCCATCTAATGGGTAAGGTTAAAATTAATTTTATCTTTTTTTCAACGTGTTTATGATTTCTTCATCAGTTTCGTTCGCCGATTATTTAATAAAATTATGTCCGAAATAGAATTTATAGTTCGTGATGCTCGACCATCGGATTGTCATTCGATTCATTCATTAATTTGCGAATTGGCCGAATATGAAAAAATGCCTGATCAGGTAGAAATAACGGCTGAACGTTTAAAAGAGGATGGATTTGGTCATGATCATGAACCTCGTTTTCATTGTTTAGTTGTAGAAAATTTGTCAATAAAAACTGTAGTCGGCTTTTTACTTTATGTACAAAAATATTCCACATGGAAAGGAGCATTTTTATGGATGGAAGATCTTTACATTCAACCAAAATATCGTCGTTTGGGCCTTGGACGATCATTAGTTTGTACATTAATACGTAAAGCATATCATCAACAGATGCCAAGAATAGAATGGAATGTACTCGGTTGGAATCAATTAGCGAGAGAATTTTATCATGAAAAACTCGGAGCAATCGATCTTACACATGATGATGATTGGCTTACATATCGTTTGCATAAAAATCGTTTCGAACATCTTTTACAGCTAAATCCTTCGAATGTTCGAATCGATGTTTACGAAAAATCAACTAAATAATTCATTCATTTAGATTTAATTGAATAATTTTTATCAACAAAATAAATTTTATTTTTTGATGATAAACAGTAAAAAATTGGTAAAACAGATCAGGTATTACACATTTACCTGTGAACGCGACAAGGTTGCAAATGTGTATGTGTATTAATTCTGATTAGTATGAATGATTGATTAATCGATCGATAATGAACATTGATAATTTTTTTTCTGCATCTTCATTCAATTTAGTTGTTCGATATAATTTTTCTATTGACGTAAATTGATTCAATGGCCATGAATTTTTAATCCACAACGACATCTAGCTGTGTGAATGTAATGAAATCAATGAAGGAATCTGATTCCGTACTTGCATACATGTGTTGTGTGTATGTTTATGTTTTTGTATATTTTACGAGGACACACACCTGAATGCACGCAAATGCATACGATATTATGATTCAAAGTTTTTTCAATTCATTTTGGCGTCGTTTTCTTCAATCTATGATTATCAATCATTATACGTTTTGTTTATCATCATTCGATCATTTTCAACATTATGGCAACTAATTCTCCAAATACTTCATTGAATCGTTCCATGCAAGATAATAATAATAATGTTCATTCATCGGGTCAAAAAAATCGTCATTCATCAGCATCATCATTTCAGATTGTTAAATGTAATAAATGTCAGATTCAAATTAGTAAAAATAATCTATCCAAGCATGAAGAAATGAAAGAAAGATCCTGTGCATATTTTATTCAATCATTTTATCAACTTTCGGACCGCACCGCTAGATTGGATGATTCGTTTTTGAAAAATAGAATGTTTGAATATCCATTCCTGATCGGTGATGATATCCTGTACACATCATCAATCGGTAAATGTAAAATTCATTATATTTAAAAACCAATCTTCATACAAATTTTTGTTTCATTCTAGAAAAGCTAAAAGCAGATATCAATGTTAATGATGATGATAATGTCATTCTTCTATCCACCGAATTGATGGAACATTCACAATTGAATGATGGCGATCTTGTCAACGTAATCGATCTAAATAATAATGTTGAAAGTAGCTTTTTCACTGTACAATCATGTCAATTATTAAAAAATTGTCTTTCAATCGGTTTTCCAAAAGATTATCCCCTAACTAATCAGAAAAAAGGTTTATCAACCAAGTCGATTGTTTTGAGAATCAATCTGAAAACTATTGCAAATACTTTGAAATCATTGTATGTTGGAACACATCGAGAGTTTACCGATCCGATAGTTTATCTGAATATTTGCAGCAATATCAAAAAACAATTGATGAAAAAAGTTATCGATCAAAATCAAAATGTTACATCTATCATTATGAATGATATTGAATATCGTTTGAAAATATTCGCTAAGAATGATGAACCAGAACAAAAGCCCCAGAATACTTCATTGGAAAATGATTTTCACAATCTTTCGATTTCAAAGCGACTTTCTCAAACTCCTGAAGTTCATTCGGCATTCCTCATTTCCGAAGAGACTAAAATCATTTTCGCTCCATTAAAATTCTATGAATTAGATTCTAAATTTGTTGCCTATAATGAACGATTTGAATTATTACATTCCCTTTTATTAAGATCCATTGAAAATGACTGTTCACGACAGGCCAATATTTTAATTACCGGTCCATCTGGTACTGGTAAAACATTAGCCATGCGAACTTTAATGCAGAAATTGTATGGAAAAATGAATATAATTGTTTTACCAAGTACAGTGTTCTTGTCGAAATCATTTGAATATGAAAAAGTAAATCAAATATTGAAACACATGTCAAATCTAAAACCTGTGCTTCTATTTATGGACAATTTGGAAGATGTTCTTAATGAAAAAAATAAACTTGACAAACGTCTTGTATCCTGGTTAAAGGTTTTATTTGATGATTTGCCTCGCAATAATCATATTATTATTGTTGGTGCAACGAATCAGGCCGATTTATTGGACATTTCATTAAGACAATCTGGAAGATTCGAAATCGAAATTGATTTCTCCATACCATCACCTTTAGATCGTAAAGTGATTTTGAATGAAATTCTTACCAATTATCAACATGAATTAACGACGGTACAAATTGAACGAATAGCAGAAACAGCTCATGGATATACGGGTGGTGATCTCAAATCATTGTGTAAAAATTATTTCCTTAAACAAAACGATGAACAATCACGAATCATTCGATTTGATCAATTTTATAGATTAATGTTGCAAACGAAACCGAGTACAATGCGTGAAATAACATTGGAAATGCCAAATGTTTGTTGGTCAGACATTGGTGGTCTAAATAAATTGAAACAATTGCTAGAAGAATGTGTTGTTTGGCCTATCAAACATCCTGATGCATTTTTAAGATTAGGTATCGATCCACCGAAAGGCATTCTGATGTATGGACCACCTGGTTGCTGTAAAACAATGATTGGTAAAGCCTTGGCCTATGAAAGTGGTCTTAATTTTTTCTCCATTAAAGGACCGGAATTATTCAACAAATGGGTTGGTGAATCAGAAAGAGCTGTACGGGAAATATTTCGCAAAGCTAGAGCAGCTTCTCCCTCTATATTGTTTTTTGATGAAATTGATGCCTTAGCTACTGAACGTGGTCAAACACAATCTGCTGTCGGTGATAGAGTTCTTGCGCAATTGTTGACCGAGATTGATGGAATTGAAAAACTTGGCCAGGTAATTATAATAGCAGCTACGAATCGTCCTGATATTGTTGACAAAGCATTATTACGACCAGGTCGACTTGATTCTATTGTTTATGTAGCATTACCAGATATGGAAACACGAAAAGAAATATTCAAAATAAGATTATCAAAAATGCCTTTAAATGAAACAATCGGATTTCATAATCTTATCGAAACATTGTCCATAAAATCGGATGGCTATTCTGGCGCCGAAATACAAGCCGTTTGTCAACGTGCCGCATTGTTAGCATTAGCCAATGATAAAAATGCTCAAACAATCCAAGTTGACCATTTTCTACATTCATTCAACATGATACGACCACAAACGTCGATGGAGACAATTGAATTTTATGAAAAATTTGCTGCCAAATTTAATGTTATGTAATAAAATAAATTCATACAAATAATGTATATGAATAATAAACATAATGTGCATGAATCATGAGGTCAAATTATTATCATCACAAAAGCATTAGGATTCTCTTTCAAAACTATTTTTATTTTTGCATATATGTCCATAAAAACATTGGCGACCGACATCGACCGGTTTGGCTAGTTTTTTTTCATTTGCCTATAGGTTTACCTGTTGTCATCATTATTGTTGTTTGTTTGTTTGTTTGTCTGTCTGATTGTTCGTGTTTTGTTTGTTAATTTACTCACAATTCAGTTGTTCGTAAAACGAAAAACAGAATTAATAATTTTGTTTAAAAAAATCATAAATATTCAAATAAAGTTTATTTCTCATTTTGAAAAAATTGTCATATTGAATATATCTTTGTCCTGTGATAATGTGCGAAACAAACCGCGTACAACAGATATTGACATTTAAACATTGTGCCAATAATAATCGGATTTTTTGTTTTGATATACCGGATCGATGTCCATTATGTGAAAAAGAAATCCTTAAACGAGATGTTGATAATACAGATGAAATTGAATTCAATGATGATGATCATTCGATTAAAGAAATTAAATCATTACCAAATCCATTGAAAGCCGCTAACAAATCAAAATGTGCTTTGGCTATTCGCCCAACTAAAGGAGATTTTCTAAGGTTTTTTATTACAATTTTTATTCCAATTGAAATTTATTTGAATATAATTTGTTATCATATAGCGATTATAAGAATACATCTGATCTACACATTTGTCTGACGATGTCGGATGGAAAAATTGTCGAGTTTGATGATAAAGGTGCAAGAGTCAGCGAAGATGGAAACGAATGGCAATCATGTCTCATCATAAATATGTTCGATTACCTTCCGGCTAAAATAAACAACCATTGGGATATTAAACTACGAGAATTCATAGCGAATAAACGATGGGCGAAATCTGAATATCATTCCGTCGATAATAATTGTTTCGATTTTGTTTTAGAATTCTTACGATCATTGAATATGAAACAATTTGAAACATCCATTGAAAGTAAAACGAAATTCTGTGAAACATTTATAGTTCCAAGGACCAAACTATTGGCCCGTTATATTTCATTATTTAGAAAGATAAGATCCGATGGTTTTGTCATACTTGGAATGAATAAATAAATATTGATTTGGTTTTAATAAATTTTTTTGACAAATTGTTACATTGTAAGCTCGATTTCGACCGTCGTTAATCGCGAAACCACCGTATTTACTTGAAAGCCAATATGAGCGTCATTCATAAAAAATGTTTACGAATGATGAAATTTTCTTTGTTGAGTTCTCATCATTGATTTTTTAATTGAATATTTTTATTAATAAAAAAACAATTTTGACATTTATATGATTGAAAATGGAAGCGGAATATGATATTTCTGGTAATAAACAGAATAAATCTGAAGCTGGATCTAATGTACATCTCCGAAAATATGTGACACTTGCTGAAACGGCAAGTGAACCGAAAAATTTGATCGACATTATTCGACAGGTAATTTTGAAATTCATTTTGGTCATCGTAGTAAATTTTCTGATTTTTATAGGCTTTAGAGTCACCTTCAATTTACGTTTTCGGTGAATTGCTTGATGTTTCAAATATCAAAGCACTTGTTGATACCGAATATGAGCCATATTTAAATCTATTGAATATTTTTGCTTTTGGAACATACCAAGATTATAGGAAACAAAAAAGAGATTCTCCCGACAAATTGCCTGATTTAAGCGAACTAATGATCATTAAATTACGTCATTTATCGATTGTTTCATTGGCTCGTTGCCGTCGACATATCCCTTATCAGATTCTTATGCAGGAACTCGATTTGGATAATATTCGCCAACTCGAAGACATGATAATCGAAGTTATCTATGCTAATGTTATCAAAGGTAATTGAATTATTGTTTGATTTTTTTCAAATGTTTACATTATTTAGGAACTATGGACCAACGTAATAACCGTCTGGAAATTGATCAAACCATTGCAAGAGATGTACGTGAAGAAGACTTCCAGACAATAACCAATGTGCTCAATGAATGGTGCCGAACATGTGAAAATATTTTATCAAATATTGAACATCAAATTCAAACAGCCAATAATTATAAAGAAGAAAGTACACGTTCGAAACAGGCATTGGAAACGAAAATACAATCAGTTCGAAAAAATATCAAACAATCAAATAATGATACTGATGATGCAATCATGACCGATGTAAACAATGTATATATACAAGATGTTGGTGGACAGAAAACCAAACGTATACCATGTCGATCGATCAAAAGTTCGTATAAAAGTTCCACAAATAAATCATGGCGGAGGGAAAACTAACGAAGAAAAAAAGATATTGGCCTATATTCTAAAAAAATTGTTCAGGAAAATTTTTGTAATCCTATCATTTAAATAAATAATTTTAAAACTAATGATTTTTCTTTCCTCTTAATGAATTCCAAATCAATATTTCGTAAAATAACAACTTTTTTTATTATAAGAACAAACAAGGAATGTAATCAGTGTAAATAAGCATGTGTTATTAGAACGTCATGTGTGTCACCCATACGAGACAAAGAGATGAAAAAAAATGGTATTTCAAAAAATCTCGAACGTTTCAGTGTATTAAAACAAATGAATGAAGGTTGCAATTCTTTGTGACTAGGCGACCTTCCTACAAAAGAGTGATCACAACGGAACATTAAAATAAAATTACAGAAATAAGGGTATATCATTATTAGTAGGGTCATTCGAAAAATCTACTTTCTCGTTCTTCACTATTCGAAGATGCCAAAGATGAATCGGTGGATATTGGATCGATATCTTGATGATGATGATTATGTTGATGATGATGATGATGATCAGTATGATGTGTTTGTGTATTCAATTTTGTTGGAGGATGAAATGATGATTGTGGCGATGATGATGATGATTGATGGCCATTTATGACGTTCACATTAGTAGCAGCATTTGTTTCCGTTGTTGTTGTATTACGTTTGTTATGAAATGATCGACAATTAGAAGAATTCATACTACTCAAAACAACTTCTGGTAATCTATGAGATGTATCAGAAGCCGGATCTTGATGCTGAAAATGATAACGAGATTTGAATTGAGAATCAGACATCATTGGTGTAGAAAAAAGCTGCCGAAATGCATTACTATTTGATCCTGGTCGAGATTTACGAGAAGATTCAACAAAATTAGAATTAGTTGTTTGCCCGGGTGTAAAAAATCCGGCTTCATCGGATTGAGCATTCTTTATCGATTCTTCATTAAGAATATTATTCATATTGGAAATATTACTCAACATATCTCTACTTTCATTCAATTGAAATTCCAATGTATCATAACGAGCTGCCAAACGTTTACGTTCATTTGTTTCACGTTTTAATTCGGTTCGAAGTATATCCAGTTCCCTACTTTGTTCAGCATTCTTTCTTGCTTTCATTCCTAAAGCTTCGGTAAGTGCTTCATTTTCTCGTTGTAATTGCTGATATGATTCTTTTAGCTGTTCATAATCGACTAATTCTAATTCAGTACGCATTTTTTCACTTTCAAGATAACGAATTCGTTGTGTTTTCATATCAACAACAACATTCAATGAATCGACTTCTTTCTCATAATTCGAAACTTTTTCTTTTAATTCTCTATATTTACGATCAGTTCGTAATAATCCTTCTGCTTTGTCTAATCGTTTTTCTAAATCGGCAATAATCCCCTTTCCATTTGCACATTCACTTTGAGCTTCATGTAATTCATTTTCAAGACGTTTACGTTCATCATCAAATGATTCAGCCTCTTGTTTTAGTTCATTGTATTGATTTTCAATCGAAGCGATTTTTTCTTTATGTTCTTCAATAACATTGGTCAACTCGCCAACATTGGTCATCAATAGATTTATTTCGGCCTGTTTTTGATGACTGATTTCTTTGGCCAATTCTATAATTTTCGGTTATATACAAAAAAAATAATTAGAAATAAACAGGAATCTAGTTGATAAGATGAAATCAATTACCATAATCTCGATTTAAATTGCTGCATTTTTGATTTGCTGTCAATAATTCGGCTCTTAATTTTGGCGTATCAAACGGCCGATACTGAAGACAAAATATGAAAAATTAACAAAAATTTCAAATTAAAAAAACACTTACCTCGGCCAAAAGAAATGAAAAAAGTGTTAAGAAACCATTCGTTTTCGAGTTCAATTGTTTTAATTCTAATTTTTTCTTTTCAATCAATTGTAATCGTTCATAGGAAAGATTTTCGTAATATTGAAGCTGCTGTAGTATATCTTTTTTACTTGAATTAAGATTGACTGGTGGTTTAGTTGGCGATGCTATCGAAGAACGGCGTGATGAATTAGCCGAATTCGATGTACTTTTATTTGATAGTGCAAGTGAATTCAATAATGTAATCGTTGGCGATCGTTTTGCGGTGAATGTGGAAGATGGACCACTACCGCCGCCACTAACACTACCAATCGGTTTATTAGTTGTCTTGGTTACCACTGAATTGGCATTGTTAATATTAGATAATCCGGAAGGTGATTGCCTTGGTGCATTGTTTGCTGCCTTACGCAAATAACTTGTTGTTGGCTTTGCAAATGAATGAGAATTTTTGCCTATAATGGAGTGAAAACAAAAATTCATTATAATATTGAAAAGATAAAAAATAAAATAAATGCAAATATAAAAATTAAGCATCTGTGCACGAGGTATCGAGATAAGAGATCAAACAATCAAATTCACCTGCATATATTGATTAGGATAAACTATACAATGTGAACGTATGTAATGGTTTAGCGAAATGTACACGTTTCGATAATGATGATCCAACATCATCGAATTGGGTCGATGTTGTGGATGATGATGATGATGATGATGATGTATTTGATGAATGACTGCAATTACGTAAACGTAGTATTCCATGTAAAGTTTTATTATTAGCTTTATTATCGTTAACGATATTTTGCTTTGTAATCACAATCGGTGTACGACATGGTTCATCATCAATAAATTTAACCAATACTTTTGTTAATGGAATTATCGATGGATTAGAATCATTTGATGATGATAATGTTGAACTATATGCACTATCGATTGATGATGTAACCGAATCAAATTCATCATCAATATTTTGATTTAATTTATTCATAGGTGGATCTGTTTTTATTTCATAATTATCATTATCATTAATGGATAATAATTGTTTTGTCGTATTATTAGTTTTGTTATTTATAAAATGTTCATTACGAAAACAGAATAAATTAATAAATGTATTCATGGCACTTTTTGATGTAAAACGATTTGTATAGATTAATGTTGTATTTGTTGATGATTGTAATGATGATGATGATGATAATGATGGAAAATGTAATAATTTTTCTGTAGTATCAATATAATCATCCTGATCATGATTATCATATTTAATAGATTTTTGTTTTTTCAATAATAATTTTTTCATAACAGTAACTTTATCATTCAATAAATCATTCGATGATGATGCATATGACCGGTGTACACCGTCTAAATTACGATTCCATTTAATATGCATGATGATGAGGATAGTAATGAATAGAATTTAAATCTAAAACAGATTTTGTACATTTTTTTATTTCAAACAAAAAACTGCCAGAAAAAGAATTTTTTTAAAAGAATTATTTACAAATTTTTAGATCAACTGAAACTGATCAACAGTGATCGAATGATAGTAACGACGAATGAATGTTTGTATGTGTGTGTGTGTGGTCGTGTTCGTATCATTATCATTTCAAGATTGTTGAACTAGAAATTTGTCATTGTCGTTAAACAATGTTAAACAAAATATAGTGAGAATATAATGAAAAAGTAATAATAAATTGTAAATGAAAGAGAAAATCGAGTATAATGATAAGAACAAGATAAAAAACAGCGATTGTTGATCCAAACAGCAAAACAATGGTTAAAAATAATGAACACAAATATTATTATCATCAACCAAATGAATATATAATGAGAGAAATTGAGAAAGAGAAATTTTAATGGAAATGAAACGGAAAAAAAGAATAAAATAAAATAAAACAATGCAAGGAAATTATGGAAAAAAATGTCCACAAAACAGAGAAAAAAATTTCCAAAAAAAATTTGAATGATTATGAGAAACAGAAAAAAAATTGTCGCAATATTTATTAATTTTATTTGTTTGTTTTTCTGTTTGGAAATTGAAACAAACATTTATAACAAATTGGCTAAAGAAAGAGAGAAAATAGAAATGGAGAAAAAAGAGACCCAAAATACCCATTGATAACAAAGCGAAAAAAAAATTTCTCTTTTAAAACACCCGATAAGAACGGATCAATCAATCAATCAATCAGTCAATTTCGATTGATTAATAATAAATATCAGATGATATTGAAAATAAATATAAACGTAAATGAGAATTGAATTGAAAAGAAAACTGGGATCGATATTGAGATCATGTGAGATGATTTCTATGTTGTTGTTGTTGTTGTTATTATCATTATTATTATTCGGGATCAATAACAAAAACAATTTTTTTTGAAAACAAAAAAAAAGGAAAAATATTTACTTCATCAGTTTAAATTTTGACGGATATATAAACATAAAAACATACACAGGGCTATTGAATTTAGATGAGTTTTGTTACAAGTTTTATTCTGAAAAAATCAATTTACATTTTTTTCACTGTCCTTTTTTTAATTTGATTTTTTTTTGAAATTAAAATTTTATTAATGTGTAAACTTGTTGTTGTTTGTTACGGAAGTTATCGATGATGTATAAAAACGGCGAAATAAAATAAATTAGAATTTTTTTACGATGTGGTTACACATACAAACACATGCAGGGAGAGGGGAAAAAACCACCAAGACCAAAGGCTATTTGAATAATTGATTAGATTGAATGATTCAACAAAAATTGTCTTTATCTTTCCAAACGAAAGGATTTTATTAAGCGGTGGTGATTTTCAATTGATCAATGTTTTTTGTGTAAAAAAAAGGACAAACAGAAAAATAAAATAAAATTCACAATTATAACCGCAATATTAGAAGAAAAAAAGAATGGAATGGGGAAATTTGAGAAAAATAAATCCTATGAACACGCAAGCAAGCTGTAAAAACTAAAATAGGGAAGAACAAAAATGATCAAATGTTATGTGTGTTCGATACAATGTGAACAAGAATGATCGATGAAGAAAAGTGAATTTTAAAAAAAATCCAGGACGATAATGAAAAAAATGAAGATTCAATGAATAAAATCTATAACGTAGGATAACAACAACAACAACAATGAAAACACAAATAGAAAAATCAAATTCATATAATGATTTGGACATAGACACACACAAACAAACACTGTGCTTAAGAATGAATATTTTTTTCAAAGAAACAAACACAAGGTAAACGAATTATGTATGAAAAGAAAACAAACAAGAGCTAAATTATCCAACAACAACACAGACAGAAAAAAATTATTATTATGGGGCTTGAAACTTGAATCCTCTATTCAACTATCATCCTCATTTCCATTTTTATACAAATTGAAAATAACGGGACAGCAACAACAATGTGTGTTTAGCAATTATGAACGACAAGACTACGAAAAAAAAAATCTTGTTGAGTAATCTTCCACACAAAATCACCATCATCGTTTTTTTTTGATGAATTAAATCGAATAGCTCAGTCAGCAAATACAGATAAATATGACGACAATATTGGCCCTCTTTTCTTTTTTTTCAATCACACAACAACATTATAAAACATTATATGGCATCAAAAAAACATGTTGAATTCATCCAACACAAGGTATAAGATTTCATCAATGAAAACGGTTGTTGTTGTTATTGTCGTTGAAATTGTTGAATAATAATTTTAAATTGAGGATTTTTATTTATTTTTTTGGTGTCATTCACCACAGACACAGAAAAGAAATATGGGTAAATTTTTTTTTCGTTTGTTTCTTGTTGCCAGTAAATTCTTCATCCAACGACAAAAAAAAATAAGAATGTCATCCAATTACAGTGAAAAAATAAAAACTTTTGGATAATTAATTCAGAAAATCTGGGTGACATGATAATTTTTATTCTGCCATTTTTTTCAGTGATTTTGATTTATTTAACACCGAAAAAAACAAATCATTTATTCTTACACAAAAACTGAAATTACAATGAAAAAGAAGAAAAAAAACATTCACTTTTTATCATTAAAAGATATAAAAATAAATTAAATTTCAAGTAGCAACAAACGACGACGAAAAAAGGTCAAACAAAGAAATCTATGAATAACCGCATGATGTATCGGCGACGGTCAATTACAAAGACAATCAAAAAGAAAAAGCTAATGATAATAACGGCGGTACAACAAGGATGACATCCATTTAATGATTCAATGATGATGATGATCAGCAAAAAAATTGCTTTAATAAGCAAAAAATATATGATAATCCTTTAACACAACGAATGGTTGAAAAAAGAAAGAAAGAAAAACATAGCCAAACAATATTTTTTTTTTTATAAAACGAGGATAATATAATCAACAAGCATGAAAAGTACGAAATAAATGTAGTAAAACATCATCCATCCATCATCGTATTTGGTGAGAAAAAAAACGAGGAGGAAAATGAAAAAAAAAACGAAATTTCCAATTTGAAAATTGTTTTCCTCACCATTTATTCACAAATTGATTCAATTGAATCCTTGATTGAAATAAATTGAATTTTGTGAAAAAAAAACGTAAAACATCACAATGGCAACAAACATATATCACTAATATTGGCTAACACTTGTTGCTCTGAATGAATGAATAATTTTGAGTTTCAAAATTTCAATTCACAAGAAATTTGTTAATGTCTCAATGGAAACTTGTGTGTGGGAACTAAACGGAATCATTCCAATCAAATCATAACAAAATGCATCGCAAATAAAATTTCAATGTCAGAAAAAATTTATTCAAAAAAGTAAGAAAAAAATCCATATCATTTGTTGCAGGAAAACATTTGTAACCATCATGATAATAATCAACAATATTGTAAAGTTTCTTTGTTACAAACGATAAAAAAATTAGTTTGAAATAAGCATCCATATTTTTTGATACAATTTTTCTTTTGACTTTTAAATGTTTTTTTTTGCTGACATATTTCAAGTCTCTAATCAATAATGCTTTTTCGATATAGACAAAATGATTGGATGAAAAACTTTTTGAAATCAATATAAATATCGAGCAAGTTGTTCTATCATTTCGTTTGTAATTGAGATTGTATTCATTGAAATCAATTGAATAATCATCATTATACATAATGATCTATTCAATGAAAGTAGTAGAAAAAAATGGCAATTTGATAATATATAGGACACTAAATAGTCCATATATCATCGAAATTCAATCTTGGAAGATGAAAAATGTTTTTTTGTCAACCTAAATAATAACAATAATATTGGTTACTTACTTATAACTACTAATAAACTAACTTTTCAAAAAATATATGCAACGATAATGGCCATTTTCATGATATATTTTCGAGGAAAAAAATGCAAAAAAAAACTTTAATAAATAAATTTCATTCTTATAATTCTAAATAATATGAAAGTTGATTATCTCAAAATTTAAAATACGCAATAATAAAACGCTATGAGAAATTGTATTTTACATATAATTTTCATTCTCGTAAAATATTATTATCAAAGTAAACATTATTATTGGAAATAACAAATTATTGAAGCATGAATGATGATCAACAGATTATAATTGTTTTTTAATCATCATATTTATGATGATCATTATTATCACCATTATCATAATCAGTATGTAAATCAGGCTAAACCCTTTATTCTATGTTAATCCCTTTTACACACACACATACACACAAACATTAACCAAATTGCCAAAAAGAAATATCAATGGCTTATGCGATCCATATTTGTAAATTATTATTATCATTGATATTCGAATTGATAGATGAACATTTTCGAAAAAAATTATGAAACAGGTTACATAATAACCAAATGTATTTGTGTATAGGATGATTGATATAAAAACAATAGAAATCAAGTTGAAGAAATAGAATTTAAAAAAACTGTCAAACACAACACTAGCAAATATACCTATAGATAACAATGAATAGGGGGAACAAAATCAATGTTTTTGTTTTTCTTGATTGAAATTGAAAAAAAAACATCAATCAAATTATTTTAAAAAAATTATATAAACAAACAATAGAAATGATTACATTACAAATAATGAGAAAAAAAGATTGATATGTTTATCATTGAAATGATATCTCTTGATGTTACCATTTCTCGATACACTCAATGCACAGTGATGATGATGATGAATATATAAAAAGAAATAATACATACCGGTTCCGGTTACAGCCATATCATTATTTATTGGATTGACATTTTCTTTTCGTGTTGCAACAACTGCTGATTTTGTTGATGATGATGATGATGTTTGCGCTAAACGAGTATATGTTGTACTTTTTTTCAATCCACTAACATTTGAATCATTTCCTATAAATGTAAAAAAAAATTAATTAAAAATTTCAATAATTTTGAAAAAAAACATTACCATTTTTCTGATGTGAATAATAATTTTTACTATTAGTAGAATGAATATCTTTTGTGCTTGATGAATAAGGCCGTTTATTAACATTCTGTGCAGAATTCGTAATCATTTTTGTTGAACGTTTAGATTTTGTAGCTGAAAAAAATAAAAACAAAATTAGAAATTTTAAAGGCCAAATAAAATCAATTATTTTTGGTAACTTTGGTTACACAACACATACAATTTGTTGTAAATGTTGACAATGAACAAACAGAATCAGTTTCTGAAAGCGCCGGTGTTGTACAACGAGATACATTAGTTGAACAAGGTTTACTGCTATTGTTTGATGACAAATTTTTCCTATTTAAATAATCAATATTACGTGTGGTTGCAATGCCAGATTTTTTTGAAATTAATCGATTCTGATTGACTTGTGCTTTTATTAATGCTGTTGATGCATTCAATAATGTTTTTGTCGTCGATGTCGTACTTTTTGTCGATGCTGATATAGGATGTTTGTTAGCAGTATTATTTATTCGATTCGTAACCGAAGATTTTGTTGATTTATTTGATTTAAATGTACATTTATCATCATTGGCCGTACGTTTATTTAATGATTTAGCTACATTTTTCGGTTCAATTTTGGTTGCATCAATTTTTTCTTCAACACAATTTAATGAATCGGAATTTGTTTCTTGAATTAATTCGATAGAATTCAATGATAAAGCGGATTCTTCATCCATAATTTCAGATTCAGGTTGTAATTGTTGTATATTTTCTAATGATGATTGTTCAAAAATCATATTATCATCAGGCTCAACAGATTTTTCATCAGTCATCATGATTACAATGTTGTCATCATTATTTTCAACACCAATATTCATTGATGAATTATTATTATCATTATTAGATTGATTATTATGATCGGTAGTGATTATTGAATTAAAGCTTGGCAATGGTGATAATGATGATTCATCAATAGCTGTTAATAATCGACCACGTAGATCAAGAATACTATCATTATAATCATCATCATCATTATCACTAATATCATTTAAAATTGCATCATTCATATTTGATATTAAACTTAATGATGCCGTACTACTTCGACTTATATTTGTTTCAATAGTTTTATTATTCTGATTTTGTTGATGATTATCATGATGAGCCATCATTGTTTTCGGATCATTAGTTACATCAAAAAATGGTTCACCACAAATCTTCATCGATGATGATAATCGTTTACAGGATGACGTTAGTGATCGTGGTAATCTTGAACTATTATTATTATTATTATTATCATTACTTGAATTAGTTGAATAAAGTTTTTGATCATCGACCATATCTAATGATTTAGATGATTCCAATTTGGTGCGTATGTTTTTGAATGATAAATCTATTGATTAGAAAAAAGAGACAAATAAAAAGAAAAGAATTATTACAAGTTGAAGAAAAAACAGCCAGACAGACAGAACAAACAAGTAAAAATTATATAAATAGTGGTGGTCAATAACGATATAAAAATCGGGGGTGTTCATTTTCCATTAGTTGGATTGATCGAAAAACAAGAGGATTGGACAGAGAATGAACGAAAAAAAAGAGAACACGATTGATGGATAATAAGAACTATAGGAAAAAAATCTCTTTTCATCGGTGATATGGAAATGAAATGAAAAATGAAAACATTTTTACTTCAATTAATTATTAGAATTTGAAACATTAACAATGTCCATCGTTGTGGATAAATGGATTTGTCCATGGTAAAAACAAAAACAAAAAAAATTGTTACCAAATCAAGAAAAAATGAATGAATTCAACAAAATTTCACTGTAAAGAAATACTTTTCATCATTATTAATTAGAATTATATAAATGAAACAGTTTCAACAACAACAGTTAAAATATTAAAAAACAAAGAACCATCATTCTTAGTGATCCAATGCTAATGACATCGAATGAAAAAAGAGTGAAATAAAAAGGGCAAACTCCCACAAGATTTTGCATTTTTTGTTTCTCTAGTTCATCATCATTCAAATTGCATTATCATTATCATCCATAATGATGTAAAATGGTGACAAAAAGCGATTTGAAATCTCAAGGAGAAACAACAACAACAACAATGTTGGAAGAAAAACTATTGTTTTATTCATTTATAAATATGTTGTTATTAGCACCAATGATGGCCATGGATTATCAAATGTTCATTCACACATTCATTATTTTTACAAGAGAGAAATTTTTGTTTTTTTTTACAATTTCATAATTATCATTATATAATAAATTATTCATACAATAAATCAATCAATACTTTTTTTACTAGAACAAAATTCAAAAAAGAAAATAAATTAGACAAAACAATAACAATGAGAACAGGAAAAAAAACAATCCATCACAATTGAAAAAATATAATTAGTTCATCATCATACAGAAACATCATTTCGGGTTCAATAAAAATCATGATGATCAGAATGAAAAAGAGAAAAAAAACAACAAGGAAATCTTTTTCTTTTACTCCAGTCAATATTCAAACATGAAATGTCAAAACAAATTTCAATCACGTAAATCATCATCAGCATCAGCATCATTATTATAACCGATACACGTGTATAAAAACAATGGAAAAAAATATGTAAAGAGTGAAGACGATAAAAAAAACTTGTTCGAAAATAATCAATGAACAAACGATAGCAGGCAACAGGGGCTATCGATTGAGGAAATGAATGCATTTGTTTATCTAATTTATAAACAGCAAGAAATTTTCTGTAAACAAAGAAATAAATAAGTTTGAAAGAATTCATTACACTATCATCATCATAATAACAACACCCGAAAAAATTATAACCCTTTAAATATAGAAAATAACATCATCAAAATGTAAATACACACACACACACTCCACCCCGATGGATTATCTTTGTCCATAATAATTTTATGATTTCGATATTAACATTTTTTGTTTTCAATGTAAATCAAAACGCGAAAAAAATGTATCATCATCAACCCCCTCACATGCACACAAATACATTGTGTTTGTGTGTGTTTATCATTACAAACATGAAAACAAGGAAGTAAAAACAAAAATTCAATATGAAAACAGCAAAAAAAAATGTCAAATGTGGAAGGAACTTATGGAAACAAACAAAAAAAAGTCAATTTAAATTTTATCATCAAATTTATTGAAAATATGAATTTTCTCACCTTTTTTTTGGTGAAAGGGTGGAAGAGAGAAAAAAAATTGGAAATGTACAGATATGTCCTTCTTTTCTACTTAGATAAATATCAGGTAAAAAGTAAACTTTATACATTCAGATAAATGTTATTTTTTTAAACATCCAACAAAAAAATTTGTTCTATTTTTTTTTATTCACATCAAACAAAAATAACGTTTATTTTATGTTAATTTTAACCAATAATTTTGGAAATATAGGCTAATCACCATCAATTATATGGTCAAGATAAAACCACAAAAAAAACTAAATCCCCTGTGGATATTATACAAATCAAACAGAATATATGTGATGATTTCGAATGTATCAAGAAAAAAGACAAAAATCCTCACCGAAAAATTCAATATTTATGACAAACTGAATACAAAATTTTTTTTGATGTAAAAAATACAAATTAAAATCACCAAGATGTTGAACGAAAAAAAAACGATCAACATTTATTGGAGAGAAAATTCTCTATAATTGATGATGGTGTTTTTTTTCTTCTTAAAAATTTCATAATTTCCAAACTAATCTTCGAAATTATATACTGTTGTATTTATCTATATGGGGAAGATTATTTCCCATGATCATTCATGATGATGACCCAATGAAAGTCGAATTTAAAGAAAAAACAAACGATAATCATCGATAGATACGAACAAAACGATTAGGAATGAATGTTATTTTTAAAAATTGAAATAAAAAAAACGAAAACATTAAACACTAATTTGTTTCTATAAATAATCTTTATAAGAAAATTAAATTATCAAAATAATAAAAAAATTATTAAAATTGACTAAATCCAATAATCAACATTATTGAGATAAATTATCCAGTGATAAAAAGATCGAGAATAGAATAAAACAAACAAAAAGTGAATAATGATGATGATGAAAAAATTTTTCCATTAATCAATCAAACAAACAAACAATCCACATAGATACAGAACATTATGACATTTGTATGTCAAACTTGTTTTTTTAAATTCTATTTGTTTAAACTAATTGAATCATCTTTTGTATATTGTAAAAAAACCTATGTAGATTAACATTTCATTTGACTTACTTTGATTTATTGGTTGATCCGTTTGTTGTTGATTATTTGTTGGTTCAAATTTTAGCGATTGTGATTTAATCAACAAAATCTTATCATTAATATTATCCATCACTGTCAATTTTTCACTATTGTTTGATTGTTGTTGTTGAAGATTATTGTCATGATCATGATCATCATCAATACCATCATCAACCATTTGTTTTGTCGTATTTGTTGTATTTGTCGATAAAAATTGTGTTTGGCGGTGTTGATGATTTGATGAAAATTTTTCCCTATTGTTTGTATTGTTTCGATTTTCATTGACATTCAATAATGTTGATGATGATGATGAGGATTTGAACAATATAGGTAGATTTGAATGATGATGAATATCTTTTTGTTGTTGCTGAAAACCAGATGAATCTTTATTCAATGTTTCATTCAATTGTTGTTGTCCGGTTATCATTCGATTATTAACGAATTTAATATTATCTTTATTCCATGGTCTATAATTTTGTCGTTGTTGAGTAAAAATATTCAATGTTGATTTTGGCTGTGTTTCAATATTTTCTATTAATTTATCAACACAAATTTGGCCACTGGTCATTTGTTTTGGCTGTAGGCGTTGTTGTTGTTGTTGTGAATGTTTTTGGTCATTCAATGAGGAAATTAATGATGATGATGATGAAATTTTATTCGAATTTTTTTCAAAGTTTGAATTAATTGTTTGTTTATGTAATTGTTGTTGTTGTTGATAATTATAATGTTTGGACAATGATCCGATGACTGGACGATTATTAGCATTGATGGTGAAAAACTGTAATTCTTTTGAGGTTGGTAATGTTGATGATGATAATGAAGATGCTACCCTGCTACCACCTCTACGATCAACAGAAATACAACCGAAATCACTCGAATATGATGCGGGTATATATTGAATTGTATTCAGTCTATCATCACTATCATTGTTATTTGTCGGATTGTATCCAGCACAGCTACTATTTGATTGAAAGTTGTTGGATTGTCGATTGTTGTTGTTGCCTTGATGGGTTCTTTTGCTAATAAGAATGTTATTGCCACTACTATTCTTATTTTTTTCATCTATATTTTTATTGTTTGCTATACTTCTACTAGAATTTTGACCATTTTTTATCACAATACTGCTGCTACCATTATTATTATCTTGATAAATACTGCTATCATTAAGAATACATTTTGACAATCCATTCGATAATGGGTTACTATTATTTGAAAAAGTATCGTTAAAGCTTGTGGTCAATGAATTTAAATTTTCAATTATTGTTGATTGTTGTGTTGTTAAAACGGGATTCGATAATGATGATGATGATGATGATGTGGGTGATCGTGACGGATCAATATTTATAAAACCAAAACGTGATATCTGTGATCCGGATGAATTTGATTTAAACATTTTCATTTCATTTTTGATTTTGTCGTTGATTTTACATGTATTTTGTCAAAACAAATGTACAAAAAATATGTCTAAAATAGAAACTTCAGGAAGTGGTTGAAAAAGAATTAAAAATAGACTTTCACATTAAGAAGATGAAGTTCACCAACAGAATCTTTTGATGAAAAGTTTTTCAACAACAATAACAGCAAAAAAAAATCGTTCGAAACTTTTTTGATTCGATTAATGTCGATAGAATAAAATAAGATGGATATAGTGCCAACTGGTCATACCAGCAAAATAGCTTGCGAAACAAGTAATAGAAAAAAAACAAACACTTTTTTGTTGTTGTTGTTGCTCACCAAGAGTAAATAAGAAAATTAACGGGAAAAAATCTGGCCAAGAAGAGCCTGCCGTTATATGTTGTTTTTTTTTGGTGCAAAGAGGAAATCTTTATTGAATCTGTTCATCACAAACACAAACATGTTTTATGTAACAAACACACACACACTCAATGGAAAAAAACTAGCGCAGCTATCCTTCGTTTTAAATGGGATATTAAAAAAATGAAAAAAAATGATGATAAAGATGATGAACGAAAATTGTAACGTTGGCCAACAAATAAACTGTATAAAATCCAAAATGTTATGATAAAAAAAACTGTTAATAAAATGTATGATGAGCGCGAAATAGAAATCCGCTTATGTTGATGATGATTATGTAACCCGCCTTATTGCGATCGTTGTTTGTACGCTGAGCAGACAAAAATAAACAACAAAAATTCTTGGAATCAATTTTTACCCACGCAAGGTATTTGACACAGGGTTCTATTATGAAAATGAATAAAAAAATCTTGCAATTCGAAATGCGCATGTGTATTTCGAATCCATTTTTTTTAAATTCTTTGAAAAAAACCTTGAATTTCGAATGTTTTTTTTTTAATCAAGAGCATTCACAAATTCGAAAAGAAACAAAAATTCATTTGTTTTTGGTTTTCTTTAATTTTATTTTTAGAAAATTTATCCGCCATAAAACAGAATGTCATCCCGAATAACAGAGATTCATTTTTATCATTGTTAAATGTTATTTATGTTTCGAATAATTAGTTTTCGAAAGCACGAATCGAATAAATTATTATTTCATTAATGAATTGTTTTTTTCTTTCGAATATTAATAAATTGTATATCATAAGATCATCGACAATTGAATCAACATCTGTTCAATTGATTTAAAATAATTTTCTTCTTCGTTTGTTCACGAACAATAGGAATTGATTGAATGAAATAGAATAATCAATTTTTTTAGCACCTTGAAATGTCAAACACCATCTTTATCATTATAACCATCAAAAAAAACCGGAATGAATGATAACATTTCATTGTATGCGAATTTTAAAGAAAGAAACATTTCTCATTGATTATGATCGGGGATGATAAAGAGAGGGGGTTAAGGAATGAAAAATAAAATAAAATTGAATGAACAGATTGTCGGACAATCATCATCATCATTATTGAATAATAAGAAGAGATCGATAATCAAATCAAAATATTGAACAACAAAAAAATTGAAAGAGAAAATTTCCATGCATGAATTATTTTTTGGATCGTGATCATCTTATGCTTAGATGTTATTTGTGTGTGAGTATATTTTATCAATTTCATATCAATTCAATTCAGTTTGATTGATTTGATTATCGATTGTGTGTGTGTATATATAGTATTATGAAAGATTCAATCAGATTTAAATTTCTCAAAGAAGAAGATAAATATAATCAAATGTTTCGGGCAATCATCGTTATTTGAAATAGCACCTTTCAACAGCGAAAAAAAATGTCAGATTGGTTTTCGTTCTTTTATTTCATTTCTCTTTTGCTTCATCATTCTTCAATTTATACAATCATCATCTCTTAGATTGAATTGAGGGGAGAAAATAAAATATATACTTCCAGGTATTTGATTTTGTTGTTAACTTATTTACCGATCAAATAAATTGACGATCTCGTAGATATGGAAACGAAAAAGAGAAATAATGACGTTTTTTTTTCTTCGATCGAAAATGAATATAAAAAAAAGAATAAAAACAACATAGCAATTTGGAATAAATGAATGAATGAATGATTAGATAATGTAAAAACAAGGGACAAAATTTTAAAAATAAAACTTGCCGAAAAAGAATAAACTTTTAAATGAATAAGTTTTTCTTTTATTTCTTCAATTTTTGAAAAAAAAGAAATTGCTTCCCATTTTTATCGATTCGAGTCGATATAGTCGTCGCTTGGAAACAGGTGTGAAAATAATAACAAACAAACAACAAATAAGAATAATTCATAATTGTAAATTGGAAAATTCATTCAGTATTAAGAATTATTCTTCCTGGTTAAATATTAAAAAAAAAATTAGCCACTCGATTTCGTAAAGAAAATGTACATAATTGGACAACTTTTTAATCATCTATTTACAGCAATATATTTCTTTTTTCGTAAATTACTTAAAGGTTTTTTACGTAAAACAACTGGATTATGTGAACTACAAAGAATATGCTATGCTGATTATTCAAATGCTTATCGATCAAAAGCTATAGGTATGTGTTTCTGCGTTTGACATAAATTGTCAAAAAAAATCTGATTGATTTATCGGAAAAAATATATTTTTTTATAGAAAATTCACTCAGACTATCTAAATCACCAGTATTACAAAAAATCGATTCTGAATTGACCAGTATAGCATTGGCGGATCAATTGGCTCATCGATGGGAAATTGTGGAAAAAGCTGTTGAAGCTACTCTAGTCACTAAATGTATCAACACTAATATTCATACTGAGTATTATTTTTATATTTCAAAATCAATCGATTTCTAAGGTTTTACAAAAAAAAATTTATTTAGCTTTATTCTTCCTTATCGAATTTGTTTGGTACAAATCTATGGTTATCGTCAATTAATTGCTCGATTAGATAAATTACGAGCCATCACTTTTGATCCGAATGATGAATCACATCAAAAATTATTGAAAACTTTATGGGAAAAACTTTGTCCTGATCGAAAATTGGATGGATTAATTAGTAAACAATGGACTGAAATTGGTTTCCAAGGATCTGATCCAAGTACAGATTTTCGCGGTATGGGTCTATTGTCGTTGGAGAATTTAGTCTTTTTTGTTACCGTATTTGGTGAATATGCTCGAAATATTCTATCACATTCATTGCATCCAACCTATGGTTATCCATTTGCGGCTGTCGGTATCAACATAACACATTTAGCATTGAATCTACTTCGTATGAATCATCTTCAAACACATTTATTCAATTCAGAAACTCGACTTTATGTGATTGAAGATTTTCATAAAATTTACGGTATAAATTCCATATTAATTGATTTCGAATTAATTTTTTTCATTCAAATTCATTCCAATAGCATATCTATTTGTATCATTCGATAAACTTTGGATTCGTTCAAAACCAACTTCAGTGATGGAATTCAGTCATATTCGAGATAAATTTGAAGCTGCCGTTATTGAAAAATTAAATGATGATCGTGCAATTTTTCGTTGGGATCCATATTTGGAAACAATCTAGTCAACAAAAAAAATTTATTGTTTCATTTAAAAAGAATTGTTATTTATTTATTGACATTTATTATCATTGTGGTTATCATCATTATTATTATTAGTTTTTCTCAATTCATTATAATCAAATTCCGGTACCAATTCAATTTCGGATTCGGGTACAAAATAAGAAAATAATTTGAATAAAAAATGACAGACAACAGTTATGAATAGGAAAAACATTCCAGTTGCAACATCGAAATTCCAGAATTTTTGTATCCTTTCATCGATCGTTTCGATTGGATCAGATTCGACCGATTCATAAACGAATGTTATTCGTTCTAGAATATCATCCCATTGATAAAAACTTTTAACCATTTCATGGGATTTTTGCGGTGCAATAATTTTGCCCTGAATTCGATCATTTATAGCCCGAACTATTCCATCATAAACACCTTCAACAGAAGGTTCGGCAAACCAAATTAATTCTTCGGGTAAAACTTCAGGAACGCCACCAACTTTAGTGCTTACAACTTGCAAACCACATGCAGCAGCTTCGATTATTGCAATGCAAAAAGCTTCGGTTAATGAACAGTTGAGAAATATATCACCTTGAACCATAACGTCGCGAACCTTGTCCGGATTCACATGACCAACTAATGTAATTCGATTTTGAAGTGAATGTCGTTCGATCATCTCTTCCAATACGATACGTTTCGGTCCTTCGCCACCGATCAAAAATTTTATCGAAGGATATTGTCGACATATTTGTGGTATCACACCGGCAAGTAAATCGATTCCTTTACGATAAACTAGCCGAGAAAGTATAACGATAGTCACTATTTTAAAGAAAATAAAATAAATGATCAATTATGTAGTAAGCCAGGAAAAAAATTTACATTTATCACTTTTATCAATTTGATTAGCTGTCGATAGTGGACGAAATACATCCGTATCCACAGGATGTGGAATAACAAATATTCGATTCGGATCTACACCTGCTCGCAAAGCTGTGTTTTCTTTGCTAAATATTTTCGAAGCAAGAAAAAAATGATGATAAATTGTGTGTGGATTAATTCATTATCATTATGTTTACCCTGTATGAGAAACACAAATGACTCGGTTGCAAACGGAAAGCATTACTTTTAAAAGTTTATTTGTTATGATTGCACTTGCATCAGCAAAACCAAACAAAGAATGGTCCGTGAATACTGTTTTCAATCCCAATGTTTTTGCATGAAACATAACTTCATGTGCTAATGCAGAAAAAGCTGAATGACCATGGACAATGTTTATTTGTTCTCGTATTAAAATATAACGAACAATCGGAAAACTAGTGAATAATGTTGGCAGTGTGCATTGATTATAGATGACTAAAAATGGTAGATAATAAACTTTTAGGCCAGATGTCATATAACGAATACCGACACGATCATCATAGGCATGGGTAATGACAATTACTTTGTGTCCTTTTCGAAGAAAACGCTGTGATAACTGATAGATATGACTTTCGACACCACCAATATTCGGATGGAAAAAGTCAGATGCCATACTTGATAAGTGAAAAAATTTGAATTTATTTTCGATTAAAAAATAAAATCAATGAAAAATTTATCTTACCAAATTCGATACATGATTTGATCGTTGAAGCATGAATCATGGTGGTTATGGTTCTTTGAATAGCTCTGTCACGTGATTATGTCATTTTTTAATCATTTTTTGATATCCATGTACCTATGATGATGTCAATTCCATTGATCGATATACATTGAGAGTTTAAATTTAAAATAATGTTTGCCAATAGAATTGCTATCGTAACTGGAGGTGGATCGGGAATCGGACGAGCTGTATGTAAATTATTGGCTAAAGAAAATGCTTCGATAATTGTAGCCGATCGTAATGTAAAAGGTGCTCAAGAAACGATCGCATCAATGACCGAAGGTCAACATGTTGCTGCCGAAGTAGATGTTGCCAAATTGGATTCAGTTAAATCAATGTTCGAATTGGTGAATAAAACATATGGATCCGAAGAGGTAGCAACATTGTTGGTCAATTCGGCCGGTATTACAAAAGATGGATGGGTAATCGATATGAAACCGGAAGATTTTGATCAAGTTTTAGATGTCAGTCTTAAGGGAACATTTTATACAACACAGTTGGCCTGTAAAACAATGATCGATAAGAAAAAAAGTGATGGCGGATCTATTGTTAATTTTAGTAGTGTTAGTGCCAAAATAGGCAATATGGGACAAGCGAATTATGCTGCTGCTAAAGCTGGCGTCGAAGGTTTAACACGTACAGTAGCCCGAGAAATGGGCAAATATAATATTCGATGTAATGCTGTTATTCCTGGTTTCATCGAAACACCGATGGTTGAAACAGTACCCGAACATAGTAAGTAGACATTTTTATACGTAAAACATAATTATTTATTTAATTTTATTGATTTTTAGTTATGCAAGGAATGTTATTCTTAACTCCATTGGGACGAAAGGGACAACCCGAAGAAGTGGCCAATGTTATAAAATTTTTACTTTCAAAAGAAAGTTCTTACATTACCGGTGCTATGCTTCAAGTTTCCGGTGGTCTTTTCTTATGAAAGATTTTTCAAATATTTTTTTATATCATCAATCTCTTTGTCAAATCAAAAATTCTAGTTTTAAAAAAAATTTTATACAAATCTTTCAGAATTTGAATACCTGTTCAAATCCTGAATTTTTTATTTTCAGGACAAAAAACAATGAACACGCATGCTCCTGCTCTGCCCGAATTAAAAAAAAATTCGATAACAAAGAAAGCTAAATAAACATCATCATTTTTTGTATAAACATCGATTAAGTTGCCATCATATTCAGACAGAAAAAAACTTTCACCGATAATCTAATTATTTAATTACAAATGATCATGGACAAATGGTATTACATGAATAAGATTGTAAAATGGAATTCTATCAAAATGATGATGCTTAAATGATTGAAATCGATAATCCGATTCAAATGAAACAATGGCAGATTCAAATTTGATTATCATTTTGTTTATTTCAATATTCATTCTATTAACCGGTGATGGATATTTACGACACTCAGATAATTCGATATTTGTTCATGCATATTATTGCGATCATGATTATTGTAATTCAGAACAGGTAATTGTAAATATCAAAATTATATGATGAATCGAATAAATGATTTTTTTTTGTTGTTGTTTTGTTTTCACTCAGTTCTGTTGCGGTGAAAATATTTGCTGTGATTATGTAAACAATACAATTTGGCATTTCATCTGTTACCTCATATCGTTCATTGTTTTCGCATTCATTTTATGGGGTATATTTCAAATAATAATGGGTATCATTTCCAATATGAATCCGGACAAAGAACGATCAAAAACGAACAACATAGATGGTGATGTTGATGATGAAAATAAAAAATTTACGCTCATTTAATTGAAGGAAAGAGCCAAAAAAAAATTATCACAAAATAATCAATGGATAAATTTGTCTTCGAACAAATTTTAAAAAATTTATGCCAAAATTTTTTTCTACCACTTAATTTAGCTTGATTTAGTTCATCACATTACCTTGGACAATCAGTACGTACAAACAACAGCGGTTACAATTGAAATTAGCTTTATTGATTCTTCCAACAAATTCATCGATTTAATTGAATTGTTCAATATACTATCTTTCTTATTATGAATCGAATTTATTTTCTAAATCTAAATAGCATCAGAAATCTCAAACAAATTAATGTTCGATGATTGTGATATAGTTTTATATGTTTTCTTTATTATTAATATTATCAGTGATTATAGTACAAAATAATAGATTCATTCATTTGTTTTTCTTCTTAATCCAAAATTGTAATCAGTGTGATTATTTTTAATATTGATAAATTATAACATTATGTAATACGATTGTTTTTCAAATAAAATTAGATCATGAAAAAAAATTTAATTATAATTAGTGTATGTTTTCATTTGCATCACTATCTCTCTCATCATTTGTGTTTGTGACTCTTAATTTTATCCACCTTTTTTTGTGAAAATCATGAAAATTGCAAAATGTACCAGAATACGAAAAGTAATTTCAAATTCGTAAAGAATATATTCCCAGTATAATAACATCAATATCAATTATAACAAAAGCAAAAAAAAAAGAAAAAAAAGTTATTGAAATTCAAGAATGAATGTGTAATAAAGGAAATAAAAATTTCCAACATTATAATCAATTAAAGACAGAAAAAAATGATGTTAATTATGAGTTAATTATAATGGATGATGATGATGATAAAGATCAACGAATGAAAGTGGTGCATAATTTGTCATCACAAGTTATGATGATAATCAATTGGCTTTAAATTTGTTGTTTCAAATTTTTATATATGTGAATTGTGACTGAATTGTATGTTTGTGTACAAAAAAAAATCAAAATGTTAACAAAATTTTCGAACCATCATCATTATTTTATATCTAAAAACAACAAAAAAAATTAATAAAATTTGGGTGAATAAACGGTTTCTTGTTTGAGGAGATCGAAAAAAAGATTAAAACAAAATTCCATTCATTCAGATTATTATTTCTTTTTCTTCCATTGAAAACTGATTTTTCGATTCGACATTCCGGGTGAATGTTCTTCATTTGCTTGATTTGCATGATATCCTGCGATTGAAGTACTGGGAATTCTTCCACCGCCAGCCATTATCATTGGTTCTTGCTGATGATGCTGATGCATGGCTCGTGTATTTATTGTTTGTTGAGATGGATTTTGTTGCTGATATTCCATTTGCGCTAATGCTGCCATTTGTTCTTGAGCTTTTTGCAATAGTTCATCTTTGGACATTGATGCGGCAACCGGCTGGGTAGAAACGGATTGACGCAAACGTGGATCATTGAATGAAACATTATTCTGTTGAATATTTTTATGATCAACTGAAAGTAAAGAAAAAATTAACAAAAATTTTATCAAAAATTATCGAATGTGCTAATTACCATTTGATGAATTGATTATATACGAAGAATTCATATTTCCACCATCTATCATTCGTTGAGCATCAGCAACTTGAGCTGTCTTGTCCTGAACAGTTCGGAGAATATCTTTTAAATTATCCGGTAATTGAATGTTTTTGATATTAGGTATAAGATTATCAAAAGATAAGGAAGAGCTAGTAGGAACCATTATGTTTGTTGGCATCGATGCTGTTGTCCCGTCCATATTCGAATGACAAACATTTAGTTCGGTGTTATTTTGTATAGTATGTTGAAGCTTATCTTCAACTTTGGCTTGCAATTTGCTTAATAATTTTCCTTGCAATTCTAGATTATCAGTTTCGACAATAGCATTTAATATTGATGCGGTCATCTCAATGGGATTTGAACTTGAAGAAACCTTTTCAATCATATCACTCAATTTTTCTTCATCATGATTAGACGATTTTGTGAGATCATGTTTTTGATTTATTAATGATTTGTTTTCTGATCGATGATGTTGATGGTGGTGACCGATTTTTTTCGAACCATCCGATATTTTCGGTGTTGAATGTAATAATGGGGGCGGTGTATAAGAACCATCGTCAGGATCATGATATGGAGGAGTGGTGCTTGATACGTTCGAAGATAATGGCGGTGTATATGAACGTTCATTGACTGAGGGCTTTAAGTGAAAAAATTATCATCTTTATAGACTTAATATATTTATGAAATTCCTTACCGAATCATTTTGCTGAATCGATTGCGAAATATTCGTTGATAATTGACTGATGTTATTGTTTGATTTACGAGTTTTAATTAATATCCCCAACAAAAGATTTGGTCGGTGATTTTTCTTTCCAATTTCACCAATCAAATTGACTATTATAAAAAAATACCAATTAAATAATTTTCAAATAAATTCAAAAAAAATCCAACTGACCAGAATTGTTTGATGGAAGCAATATTTCGGGTATATCACTATTTTGAGACAATGGCAAAATGTAGAAATCTTTATAACCAGTAGTAGAATGTTTTAGATACACAACACCTAATCGATTACGGGTTTTAAGATAATGAAAAAAAGCATCATAACCAGTTCGTTCTTCACGAGAGGACCAAATAAATCTTATTAAAACGATCTCTGAATGTTTTGAAATTTTCAATTTTTCAATGTAATCTAATGCTTGTTCCGGTGCTATTCGACCACAAACGGTAATCTGTTCGACATAATCGTGCTGTATTGCAAAGGGAAAAATTTAATAACAATGATGAATAAGAAAAAATCTAAATTCATTTACCCTAAGATGATATTTAACTTCAACGGCATTTCCAGTAATAACCTGCGCGGTGGCAACAAATTTGGCCACATCTTGCATGAAAATTGTCCCTTTCCAAACGGGTTTAGAAGTCTTGTGTTCGCTAATTTTATTGCCATTAGTATCGGAATTTTTGTCATGAGAAGTTTCTTTAGAGGATGACAATGGTGATTGTTGAGAAGACTTTGTCGAATTCATATCATTTGTCGTAATAGATTTATCAATATCATTTGAAGATTGAGTATCTACAGTAGTCGTGATGGAATGTTGAATTTCCATAAGAATCTTATCGGATAATTTCTTCTCTGCTTCTTTGAGAAATTCATTAAAAGATTCATTTTCAACTCGTACACGTTTTGGTTGTAAACGTTGAACAGTTGGCGAATCGATTTCTTTACTAGTTTTGGCTACTGGTGAAGTGGGTGGCATCATTGACACATTCGAAATATTATCCTTTTCCAATTTAATCGATTCATTGGCCGAAGAATTTTGTGTACAAATTTTACAATTGCTAGAATACACATGTGCAGAATGCTGAGAAGTTGTATCCAAGATATCCAATAAAGATGAGTCATTATTTTCTTGAGGACCACTAGTCAAGGAAACTGGTGCTTCTTTCACAGGTGATTCCAGCAAATTACTCATATTCGATTCACTATCAGTTTGATTGGAATCATTCAACGGAGCTAAATACGAAGGCAATATGAATTAAGAATCAAAAAACCAAATTACGAAACTTACCTTTTTCATTATTGGCTGCAATTTCCGTTGAAGGAAGGTCCAACACGAGATCATTTTCAATAAATTCTTCACCTTTATGTGTCTTTTTGACAATCACCTGATTAGCCTGATCGAATGCATCTCTTGTGATCAATTGTATCATTGTTTTTTTCTCATGTTCACGCCATCGTGATAATTCAGCTGAAGCTAATTCTTCCGGTGACATATTAACCAAACGTTCAGGTGAAACCTTTCCCAATAAAACTTTACGAAATAATGTATTTTTTGTGTCACGTAAATTGAAAATTAGAGATCGAGATTTTGTCTGATATTTTGAATTGACAACTTTGAACACTTTGAAAAGTTCATTTTCAATCTGTACAGAAAGTTTAGTTATCTCACTGAATGATGATATCGTAGCTTTTTCATCAATAGTCATTTCTTTATATCTAAAAATTTAAAAAAATAATCATTAATCAATTAAAAGCATTAAAAAATCAAACAATTACCTGGATTTTAAAATTTCGTTGATCGTGTTGCGTACATATTGACGACGACTTTCATTCCTATTGTCATTGGATGTATCAGACGAAACACTTGATGTACGTTCCAATTTAATTGTCGATGATGATTGTGCTTGCTTATTTTTTGTAGACGTTTCATTTGAAACTTTACTGGTTGGCGGCGATTTGGCCGATGATGACAATGTTGCAGTTTTATTGGTCAAAATATTAGCAGTACTAGTGTTTGGTCCAGTATTCGAAGATTTTCTCAATGCACTAGGTTTATGAATCTCAAATGTTTGATTGGCGCGAATGAAATCCAATACGTCCTTTTCCTTAATATTATCTTTTCGATCATTGTTTAATCGATCAATCAAAATTACTTTTAATGATTGTGAAGGCGTTGTCAGATTCATTTTGTCTTTCATGCGTTTTAGTGAACGTAATGCTTTTAACACATCATTTACATGTGTTTGTAAACAATCTTGATTACAGTAAATAGATTTTATTGATTCTGAGCTATTTATTTTCTGTTGAATTTTTCCGCCACAATTATTGACATTTGGACAAGCTATATTATCATTTGATGAAGATGATATTGATGTTCGCCGTGAATCAATATGAACACTGGTTTTACGTTGTTGATGATTTGGTGATAATTGATTTGTATTTATGGCTGCGGTAACACCAGCAGCAGGGGTTGTAGCTACAGAACTCGAGGTAGATGATGACGATGATAATGAACGCATTAAAACAGCTGGTTCCGCTTTAAATAAATCTTGTACGGATTGATCAATTGGATCGATTTTATGTTTCTTTTTATTCAAATTATTATTATCATTTTGTTTTGAATGTTTTTGTATGACGAAAACTTTAGAAAATTCGGTATCAGAATTGAATGAATTATTATTTGTGAAAGATGTTGAACTGTTCGAGGTATCATGTTGGCTATCATTGTTATTATTATTGTTAACAGGATGATCATATTTTAATTCATTGTCCATCGATTCTGTTGAATGATTAATTGTGGTGGTTGTTTGCTCATTAGATTTTAGCTTTTCTCGTTTTTCATTCAAATCCTTTTTAGATGCTTTTATCAATTTTTTTAGACGCCGTTTCTCTTCCTCTTCTTTTTCTTTCTTTGATTCAATTTTCGAACTATTCGATCGTGATATTGAATGGCGTGATGATTTCGACTGTTTCGGGTGAATTACCGAATCATCATCATCATCATGTACAGATGAATGTTTCGATGACGAATCTTTACGTATACGAGCTTTCTCCAACAGTTTTGCTTTATTTTTTTGCAATCGTTTTTCTTTTTCAGCAAGTTCTAGTGCTTTCTTTTCCTCGATCTTACGTTCTTTTAATTCTTCTTTTGGGATACCTTTGTTTAAATCTTCACGGCAAGATGGACAATACCAATCTTCGCCCAATTTTTCCATTTTACGTCCTATATATTGATAAGGAATGTTTGAGAAACTTTTGAAGGAAATTAAGAATTTAGATGAAACAAACCTTGAACTTTTGTTACATTCACACATTTTCCATGAAACCATTCTTCACAAAGATCACAGCCAATCATAAAACGATCATCATATGGTTGCCGACAAATGCACCTAAATATTTATTCGAATAAAATTAAAAATTCGATTATATTTCATATTGATGTACAAACCATAATTTTTCAGGATCATCATCAGAATCAAAATTCGAATCGTTTTCATCATCATCAGATGAATGATCAATATTTTTATCCGAAACACTGTCTTCATCCGATTCTTCCATTTCTTCTTCTTTAACAAAAACTTCTTCCTTTTTAATCTTACTACTTTCAACAATAATCAATTTAGGTTTATCCAATTTTTTTGCTTTTTTAACCGGTGGTTCATCACGTTTAGTTTTCGAGTCATCTTGGGTATTTGTTGTAATATTCAATTTTCCACCACTAAAATCGACTTCCAATTCATCATTATCCCATCTTTTTGGTTTTTTACGTGTTCGTTGTATACGTCCACTAGCAGATACATTTGCCTCTGAATTGATGCTGCAGGAAGAAATATCTTTGTCATTCATAATGCTATTTTCGGCTATTGCAGATGTTGAAATATTTTGAGAATTTTCCAATATACCAATCTTGGAATCGAGAGAAATTTGGCTGTCGTTTATTTCCGAACTTTCAGTTTTGATTTTCGTTTCTTCAATTATACTAACAGATGGATTATTATTATTATTTTGTCGAAATTTTTTCTTTTTATGTTTTTTATCTAAAGGAAAAAACAACGATGAAAAAAAAATTAAAATATAATTTTTCAAATAACTTACCTGAAATTTTTTTATTTTTCAACAATTTACTCTTGATTCGATGTTTATCTTTTCGAAGTCTTTTGCTCAATTTTAATGCCTTAATCATTTGGTTATTATTAAAGTAAAAAAAACATAAACAAAAACTACCAATAATTCCTATATAATTTACATACCTTTTTCGGTTTTGAATACGAATGTTCAATAAGTGTAAATTGTTCGAATGTTAATGATTCATCGAAACAAAGTATATTTTCATCAACAATGTTTTCATCTATTTTCTGTATCAACGATTCAGAAGATCGATTCATTCCAACAACAACAACCGATGATGATGATTTGTTTGAAACTTTATTATTATGGTCAAATTTTGTAATCGGTGATGAATTTAGGGCACTATTAAACATAGAAAATTTATTGTTCGATGTTGGTGATGAATATGAAGATGATAATGGTGGCGATGAAGATGATTCGGCGGACGTATTGATTGATGTGGATTGAATAAGCGCTGACTTTGTATTTCGATTATTATTATTATGAAAATTATTATGAACTTTTTTTACATTTGTTTCGGCAAAATTTTCATCCGACATTTTAATATATTTGCACAATTTTTCAAGAAATTTGTCATGAAAAAAATATTTATATTTATAGAGATAGAGAAATGAAAATTAATTCATATTACAATTATAATGAACCGACAAACAAAAACAAAAAAGTCCAAGATGATTATTCGCCATGTATTATTTTATGCTTGTCCAAGAAGAAAATAAAAATCATTATCATCAATCAGTCAATCTGAATCAAAATTTTATGTTTCAAATGGACCAAAGAACTGTATATTGCTCGAATTAGATTCGTGTATGGCTTTTATTTGAGAATACACTTTGTGGTGTTTTATCCACTGTAATTTTATTTGAAAGAGTTGGGAAGGGAAAAACACATGTACACATTTACATACACAACATATGAATAAGATCAAAGCCACACCAAATTTTAACAATAAAATGAAAATAAAGATTGAATTTTGTTTTTGATCGAAGAAAAATAATAATCAAATCAATTGAACGATGATGATGACATTCGAATACTGGAAACGATTTTTTCCGCAATTTCTTTTTCAGATTTTGTAGAACAAATTTCGAAATTGTAATCAATTGATTTTCAAGAATATGAAATATTGGAAAGAATTTTTTTTCATGTTCCTTTTGTATCGAATTGGTTCATTTTTTGATTCCGCCATTTTCACGCTCACACACATAAATACATACTCAGAAATCACACAAAAACAAGCACAAGTAAAAAAAAAGCACACAGCACACACTTTCACTCTCGCTCTCTTGCGGTGCTGTTCTAAAGGAGAGGCTTAACTCACACGCGCTATTATTTTAACTTAAATAAGTAAAAATGGTTTAAATAGACACAATTTTTTCGAATAAAAATTTTAATATAAAATGTTTTTCGTAATTTTAAATTTCAAAATGAAAATGATACATGAATAAAAAAATTATAAGTTTCTTTCAATAAATTATCAAATTAATAAAAGATTTGTTGAATTTTCTCGTAACCAATCATCAAATTCGGAAATTTGTTCAGGATTGAATGATGATGATTGTTTTGTGGTGGCTGGAAAATCATCGATTAGAATAGAATCATTTAAACATTCTAGATCTAAAATCTGATTGTCAATAAAACATGATGGTGTTTGTGGTGGTGTTTCGTTTTCAAAACGATCATATTTCGGTGTGGATGGACAATCCGTAAATGTTTTTGAACTCCATTCAATAATTTTATTATCAATTTCAGGTTGACTTGTTTTTAATTTCTTTGAATTTTGTTCATATTTTAGATTTCGAGATCTTTTTGTTCGTTTTTCAATAAACTTTTCATATTGATCTTGCAGATAGACGGTTTTTCCATTAGGATTATTTCTAGAAATCAAAGAATAAGTGGATGATAATGAATTTGTTGAAAAGGTTGAACAGGATTTTATCGATTTCATCGTACAGGTTTCTTCTGAACTTGATATGGATGAAGCAGGTGAAGAAGGGATAGATAATGAACAAGGACTAGATGAACTGTATCCGGAATCGAATAACTCTTTCGATTGCGTAAATTTTTTACGTCGATATTTATCTGTCGAATATTGTTGTTTAATATTGGACAAATATTCTTTGAAAAAAATCATTCGAGATTGAACATTATTTTTAGTATCGAATAGATTTTTAAGCGATAATGTAGAATCTGGCGATATGGATTGGGGCACTTTTTTGCGTTTTTTTGGTAATTTGACATTCTTGATTTTCGTTTTCGCTGTTGGTTTTGGTTTTGTTATCGCAATTGGTCTATCATCAGGTCTATTTTCGATAATTTTCAATTTGAAATGTTGATTCTGACTTTTATTGTTGGCGATGACATCAACTGTTTGTTTTTTCCTTACAATTATCTTTCTTGATGATGGAATTGTGGATTTGATAGGTTTGAAGTCATCTTTTTTATTTTGTTGAGAATCTAATAGATTATCTTCTTCATGTAAATCACCCAATTTGAAAGGGATCTTGATTCGACAAAAACTATCAATTTCGTTGAAAAGTGAGTTGAGTTCTTCTTTAGTTTTGGGATATTTTTTCTTTTCTTTGACATTAACGATTGGAATGTTTTCCAGACCATCAAGCTTAGATGGTAAATTGATTTTACATAAGTCGTCGATTTTATGGAATAAAATTTTCACTTCATTTTTGGTTTTTGGACATCTTTCACTGGGCAAAATATCATCTAATCCACTGAGTTTGCATGGTAGATCGATCTTTAAAAAGTTATCAATATCATGGAATAAATCGTTCAGCTCTTCATTGGTCTTTGGACATTTTCCTTGAATCGATGTTTTATCAAGTCCATCAAGTTTGGCTGGTAAATCAATTTTGCAAAAATTGTCGATTTCACCGAATAAAAGTTGTAATTCTTTTTGATTTGTTGGACATTTCATTACAACTTTATCATTTATACGTTTTATACTTTTAAAACTCATTATAGTCGATGATCCACATCATTATTATTATCATAAAAGAATTGAATCCATTTTTTTCTTGTTTAAAATAATCATATTTTCAATGCAAGAATTCAGCAATCCGGCATGCATGCACAAAAAATTCACATATGGAGTTGTTCATTAAAGAAGTGACAACAAGAATCACAGGTAATCCAACAGAATCGTCAATTAATGCCATCTTGTGAATAATATTAAAATTTATTAGAATTTATTAAAAATTTCATTCACAAGATGGCGTTTGATTATTGTTCAAATTCTTTGATGATTCGAAAAAAGAATTTTGATTTCTAAATCTATTGATCAATGTTTTTTTTTCTGAAAAAATTGAAATGTCTGATTTTAATAATAATAACAACAACAATGAAGTCGATATGACATTATTATCATAGTATTCATTTGTTTTCAATGAAAGAAAATAACGTTTTTCAAATTTCAACTTTGATTATTCTTTCTTCTTTTTTTTCTGGTGTGTGGTCTTTTTTTCCTGTTATTGTTGGTTAATCGGCTTATCATCACCATATAACCCCGGTTTTTCTTTCACTTTTCCATATTTCATTTTTTCTCTTTCATTCTGCTGACGAAATGGACCTAATCGCTCGATATACACTTATAAATAAAGTGTGGCGCCAATGAAAAAACCAATGGGCATCTGCTGTTCCCCATATTAATATCATATGAATGATCCACTTTCAAGTGTTTCAATAAACACCCCGATTAACTTACGACGACTAGTTTATAGCACCAACAATTGATTTTGTGAGACTATAATTCCCGTACAACCAACGTAATAACAAAAACAACAATTGATTTGAGAATGATTCAGCGTAAGTAGTCAGAATTGACTAAGCTTTTCTTTTTTTTTCTTGATGATTATGAATACAACAATACACTTAACGAACACTTTTAGGCATCAATTACAAGTCACAAAGTGTCTCATGATTTCTATTTTATTTTTTATTTTTTCTTTATTTACAGATTCACAAAAAAATCAGAAACTTCCTCTTCTTGGTGGTACAGACTATAGTATTGTTCTCGTTGTTGGTGGTGAGCCAAAGAAATAAAAAGAAATCTCATCCAATTGAAAAAAGCCATTGTTATTTGTTGTTAGATTTAAATATGCTTTATAACAAATGTAATTCATTTTTGTTGTTCAAGTCAATGTATTTTCACTACCTGGGAAGTAAATCGATTGATTTGTCGTCTGATACTGAATATTATTGTTCAATTGAATAATCTGTCCCAAACAAATAAACAAGCAAACAAACAAAAAATAATGTCAAATTATAAAAATGAATAAGTCATCAAAAAAAATTGTAATAAAAAATTCCATCATAACATGAGAATGTGAAAGAAAAACGAACTATATCGAGTTAAAATGGAACAAAATACTGACCATACAAAAAAATAAAATGAAATGATTATTGTTTCAAAATGAAATGCTAGATTTCCATTTTTATGAAGCGATCTATACAGGAGTGGTCTGATTTTAATCCATTTTTTTCAATAATATTTATTTTAATTCAGTTTGTTTATTGTTATTTTGTCAATACACTTAAGTCTCGATCGACAATGATTATCAAACAAACAAGCTAATTTGATCCTCGAATGTTTGGAACAATTGGAAAAACAGCCACAATTGTTGAAATAGAATCGAATTCAAACAATTCAAAACATACGGTCCCCATAAGTCAATGAAACTTTTTTTTTCGCCATTGAACTATGGATTAATTTTTTTCATAAAAATTTTATTTAGTTTGGTAAGTCAAAAAATGAAAAAAAAATTTCATTTTCATATTTCACATTATGGATGATTTTAATCTTTCTCTCCATTTTTGATTGCTTTTGTGTTCATTCTCAAAATCGACTAGTATCAGTAATTTTTTTTCATTTCTTATTGTTGTTATTCTTTTCGTAATTGTTTTAACGAAACGAAGCGAAACATTCATTTTTTTCTAATATTCCTTTTTGCAAAAATCATCGACATATATCAATCAAACAACGGCTGGCATTTTTGTCTATTATTATTATGTATGTATACATGAAAATTAAATCAAAGAGCAAGAACAAAAATCGATTTGAAAATCAAAATGTCCGTTATACGATTCAACATTGAGTAATTGTTATTGTTATTCGGTCGGTGGTTTGACGATGATTGTTGTGGAAATTCGATCAATCGATCTTCAATATTAGATTTGAATTGAATAAAAAAGAAAAAAATATATTCATTGCGATTGAAGAAAAAAACAAATTTCAATTTGGACGCAATTTTGGAAAACTTTATCATCATCATCATGGTAGTTTTCTCTATTTTCAATCAATAATAATGCAAATTGATTTTTATTTCATTTCCCAATTTGATGATCATTGATTTTTCTTTGTTTCGTTGTTTTTTTTTGCATTATCGTTTTTTTTTCCATAAATGAAAACTATTATTTACAAAGTTTTTTCTTCTTTCTCTTTTTTTGTAAAATAGCAAATCGAATGTCTGAACAACAAGAACAACACAAAGAAAGACTGAATTAAATAGAATGATGATGGCCATTATGGATGAGAAGAAAAAAAAAATGTTTTTTTTCAAAAAAAACGGAA